AGTCCTGGATTGGCTTCCTGGTCTCAGCCATTGTTCACATCTGGGGGTGAACCAGCACCGGAGACCTCTCTCCCTCCCACAACCTCTCCATTTTCTTCTTTCTCTTTCATACTTCTCTCCCTCTCAAATTAAGTTATAAAAAGGGGTGGGGGAAACCGCATCAAAGCGAGGACCTTTTCCACAGCCAAGGAAGCAAGCAACACATGGAGGAGAAAATTCACAGAATGAGGGAAAATATTTGCAAATTATACTTCTCACAAGGGCTTAGTAACTAGAATAAAAAAGGAACTCATTCCAACAGCAAGGGAACAAATAATCCAATTAAAAAGTGGACAACACATCTGAATGAGTTTTCAAGAGATGCCATACAAATGACCAACAACATGAACATGTGCTGGGTATCGCTAATCTCTATAGATTGGCTATTATCAAATAGACAAAAGGTAACTGCTGGCAAGGGTATGAAGGAAACCTTAGGCACGGTTATCCTGGACTCCAGTAATCTTCTTCTTTACCTCTAGCATGTTTCTCTTTTTCCTCAATCAAATCTACAGCAGCCCTGAAAATTTCAATATTTCATTCTTTGCCTATTTCTTTTTTTTTTCCTGGATCTGAAGACTCTTTTTTTTTTTTTATTGTTGTTTACATTGTATTATGTGGTACAGTTTTATAGGCGCTGGGGATTACCCCCACCCCTCCCATACCCCTCCCCCCATGGTGGATTCCTCCACCTTGTTGCATAACCATAGTTCAAGTTCAGTTGAGATTCATTCCTTGCAAACACATGCCTAGCATAAAGTTCAGCGTCTTATTGTCCAGATAAGTTCAGTGGCCTCTTGGGGAGACCTTCTCTGGTCTGAAGGTAGGGATAACAGAGTAAAGATCCGGTCATATAAAATCCCCAACAAAACCTCAGTATCAATATACAACATTATGGAATTAATTGACATAGTATTGGGTAAACAATATGTTAAAGATAATGCAAGTTCCATTCTTCGAAACATCTGGGTTGAGACAGTATCAATGACAGGTTCAAAAAAATAACAAACAACCAAACAAAAAATTACAGGTTAAATCAAGGCAAACATGTGGTATCTAACCTTTTGGGATTCGCTCATTTCCCTTAGCATTATAGTTTCCAGTTGGGCCCATTTAGCCACAAAGAACTGCATTTTGTTTTTTTTAATAGCTGAGTAGTATTCCATGGAGTAGATGAACCAAAGCTTTCTTATCCAATCTTCTGCTGATGGGCATTTCGGTTGCTTCCATGTTTTTGCAATTACTGATTGTGCTGCTATGAACATAGGGATGCATGTTGGTTTGTCGTAAAACAGGTGTTTTGGATATATTCCTAGAAGTGCTATTGCTGGGTCATATGGTATGCAGATTTTGAGTTGTTTGAGTGTTCTCCAGACTGATTTCCATAAAGGCTGTACCAATTTGCAGCTCCACCAGCAGTGGAGTAGGGTTCCCTTTTCCCGGCATCCTCGCCAGCAAGCGTCGTTGGTGTTCTTTTTTATGTGGGCCAATCTTACTGGTGTTAGGTGGTACCTCATCGATGTTTTAATTTGGATTTCCCTTATTGCCAGGGAGCTGGAACATTTTTTCATATGTTTGTTTGCCATTTGGACTTGTTCCTTTGTGAAATGTTTGCCCATTTCCCGTGCCCACTTCTTGAGTGGCTTGTTTGTTTTGGTTTTTTGGTTGTTTTGAAGTTCTTTGTATATCCTGGAAATTAGCCCCCTATCGCCTATATAGTGTGCACCAACCCCACTTCCCTACTCCCTAACACTTATCAGAACTACCCTCTTTTAAATTGATTTATGTGTTGAAAAAAAAATAACAAAGTCTCACTAGATGAAATGAAACAATAATACATATAGGGAAAGTGAGTACTTTCCATCCACCCTTTCCAAACGTATATGATGCTATACCCTTCTCGATTCACATTCTAATATTTGTGAATTCAAATATAAAAACAGATGTTAATCACAAACATGAGTCATACTGAACACATAATTTTTACAAACTTTTTCACTTAAAAGTAAGGAGTAAATCACTAGCAAGCATAAATAGATCAAATTTATTCTTATTTAAACAGTGGATCCAGTTCATTCTTTACTGCTTATTTTCCCAACTGCAGACCCTGCTGGTGGCTCATCTTCAGAGAGGGCTTCATTTGCTGAGTCCTGCAGATCTGCTGACCCCAGAAGACACGACACAGAGTTCCCCAGCCATATGATTCCAATCTCTGCATTTGGGGAGCAGGGGCGGCAGGGAGTGCTGCTTGTCACTGAGAAAACCTGGGAACAGAAGTTTTGCCCAGAAACCCCCACAGATGGTAACATGTCTCATGGGCCCACAAGAACTAAATCCATTACATCTTTCATCACTCTGCTTGCTACTGCCCAGCAGATGTGCATGACAAGCTGCTGGCAGGTGTGGAGGAAACCACAGCCACGAACAGGCATGGGAAACTCAACTCACTGACGAGGCTTGGAAGGAAAGATATTCCACAGAAGAGAAATAAAAGATGTCTCCTCCAGTAGAACCAATGGAAGAGACACAAGAGAATTTTAATGAAAATATAATGGAATCACAGAACTAAAAAAATTTTAAAATACTTGGAGAAAATTAAAAAACATAATTTGTTAATTAAAAAGTCAACACTCAGTGGAAAAAGAGAATGCTCTTGAAGATGCCACTAGTGGTCAGAAAAATCAAGAGGGAAGAAACGCCTTACAAGAAATGCATTAGCAGACATTCCCAGGGAGAAGGCCAAGCCACATGCAGATCAGATCCAAGGGACCAAACAAGGAGAAGCAGAGAACATGTGGAGACACAGAAATAACCAAGAGAGGAGAAGGAAACTTTCAGAACTTAAGAAACACTTGAGGCCCTGGACATCAGCACCATGGAGAAACAGGCAGTTCGGGATGGTGGAAAATTGCAAACAGAGGCACTGCTCAAAAACACCAGGGCGCTGACTCAGGGGTCTTGCTGCTGCTCAGTTTGTTCACATACCAAGGGAGACCAGTGTGTCTGCCAGGCTCCACACAGAAACATCCAACACAGACATCATCAAAGTTCTTCTGGGATCCGGAAAACTTCCCTCACTGCCTTGCCATCAGTAGCTAGCTATTAACGACTTCAGGGTTTTCATAGCAGTCTCTTCTTCCCACAGCCTATCTAATAAAACGCTGCAGCTGCCTGCTTTTAATATCATAGCTCCAAATCACTTTTATGAAAACTGAATGATAGGAAAGAGAGAAAGATTTGGAAATGAGATAGACGCTTTCCTGTTAAGAGAAAGCACTGCCCTGAATTATGAAATAATTACAAAGGTGATGTGAACACCCTTAACAGCAGAGACTGCATGGCCTGCTGCTTACTCGCTGTCATCTCGGGAAAATTATTTAACCTTTCTGTGTCCCACTTCCCCAAAAAGCAAATAAGTTAATACAAATCTGACACATAGCAACTGTTTAACAAGCAGGCTCGGTGCTACTGCTGCTGCTTCTGCTGTGGCCACAATAGGAACACAGTTTGCTTTTAGCACGCTGATTTGGGGATCAAAAGACCTTTGAGGATAAAAGCCAACTGTGAACTGGAGTTCCAGACTGCAGCCATGGCAGCCAATCCCTTCAGCTTACAGTATTCCTATCTGAAACAGGACTGTGTATACCTATCTCATTCAACATCCAACCATTCTCCCAAAAACATGAGTACCTACGACTGCATAGGGACTGGAACACAAAACAGCAGTGAGAGGCAGCTACCTCTTTCAGGAGCAGAGGCTCTAGTTAGTTTCCCTTCATTTTTTGGTGGCTTCTTTTGCCTTAAGAGAGTGAATAAAGAACCTGAATGGTCATTTGCAGTTTTTAGTACATGTATTGTGATTTAAAAGCAGGGGCACAGTGAGTTAAGCCACGGCCTGCAATGCCAGCATCCCATATGAGAACATGCTCAATTCCAGGTTGTTTCACTACTGATTCAGTTCCCTGCTCAAGTGCCTGGAAAAGCATGGAAAGAAGGCACAAATGCTTGGATCCCTGAACCCACATGGAGTGCTGGAAGAAATTCAAAGTTCCTGGCTTCCATCCGGCCCAACCCCAGGCCATCATGGCCATTTGGAGAGTGAGCCAGCAGATCACGTATGTTTCTTTCCCAATCTCTTTTTAACTCTACCTTTGAAACAAATACATAAATCTTTTTTAAAAGTTTCGAACAAAACTTCTAAACAAACAATTGATGGAAAAATTACAGCCAGTTTCCAACATATTATATGAGTGTTTTGCTATTTTAAGACAAAATACCAAGAAGCAGGTAGGTTGCTAGGAAAAGGTACCTGTGAACAACACAGCATTGTTGGGAGTGATGGGACAAGGGGAGAACAGATCAGAAAGCAGGCTAAAATATAATGGGGACATAGCGTAGTGTACAACCTGTCTCTATGAGTGACTTTTAAAATCTGACTGCTATTTTAAATAGATCGCTCTCACATCACTGCCCAAGAGGAGTCTTACTTGATCCCTTATAATCCATAGCCAACCCATCTTGGAGGGCCCTGTTCTGGCACACAGGGTGCGAGACTAAAGGGATTACATAGGAAGTTGTCTTCTTCATTCCAATAGTAAAGAACTCTTAAAAGGTTCTTGGTGTTAACAGTGCTTAGTTTGATCATCCTACATGAGTGAGTGCATCGGCCACGGGAAGGCTGGAAAAAGTTGTTCCACTTTAATCTTTGGTGAACTCAGATCAGGGACTTAAGAATGTCTACAATAACAATGGCAGACCATCACTACCATAAACAAGCTAGAGTGACCAGGACAGCCTGCATGCCTAGTCTCCATAAAGGAATAGCATCAATGTCATCAATGTCGTGTTACTATTTAGTAGCTATTTAGTATTTAGTATTTGGTATTGCACTTTTAAACTTAACAGAAATGATTGCAATCAGGATTTACCTGAATCAATATTAAGTATAATGAAACATTTGGTTATGTAGATAGTATATATTTATAGCATGATCAAAATTAAAACTTCAGAATATTTTCCTTTATTACATTTATACAACAGCATATATAAAACAATCATACACATTATTTAAAACCATGCATTTGGCTCATAATTGGCCTAAATGTATTACAAACTCAGTACAATGGAAGTTACAAAGATTATAAAGAGTGATTTTGACTTCTATGTTTGTATGAAAAATTCTAAAACCCATTAGTTTTAAAATGAATCAGACCACAGAGCTATATGAGAATGATTCCAGAAAAAAAAAGGAATATTAACAGTTATAAAGTTTTAAAGTTTCAATTAAAAAATAAATTATGTTTCAAAAGCCTCTACATATAAACTCTAATACTATTACCCATAAGTCCTAAAATAAAACAACTGGCAAAATATTTACTTACTTTTTATCCTAATCACATTTTAGAGTCATAATAAAAAACTACTGCTCATACAAAAGAAATTATACAATTTATCCAAACATTGTTACATAGGAAGTTTTAAGAAATTGCAAATAATTCTTAATGCTCTCGTTTTGACTCTCCGTCTTCTCAAGGCTATGTTGAATTTCTTTCAAACACACTTCCTGATGTTGAGCTTTCTAAACAAGACATACAGATAACCAATTAATATTCATAGCAATGAATAATTCATGAGTACCAATTCAATTTAAATAAAGAATACATCCTAGTAATTTAGAGATGTTCTTCTTCAAAATTAATAATTAAAGCACACCCTTGGCTGATACCTACTATGATAAAATTTACTGTGATATATTTATTTAGCCTCTGCTTATTATATATTTAACATGGTTCACTTAATGGACCTTGTTTGAAGCTGTTGCAATTTCCATGACATTTAGTATTTTCACACTAATTTTGTCTTTATAAAATTTTATTTTGAGTCTTTGCTATCTTAAAAATACAATTTTAGCTTTGATAATGTGATAATGTGAATAACTTAACTTTAGAATCCTTCAAAAATAGAAATCTCATCATTGTAACCATTCTTTAGCAAAAAAAAAAAAGAGCTTAAAGCCCAATTTTTTTCTAATTTATGTGGTATGCAAATTCCTAAGTAGACTTGTTCATTACAAATGGTTTAGAGAAAGCCAGGTTGCAAACACCACTTAGCTTCCAAGCAGAATGAAGACACCAGGGGAAGCTGAATCCTGCACAGTCTTCTCAATGGTGTTCCAAGGACTGCTGCTGTCTGTGACCTCAGCAAAGCCACTTGGGGGGTTGTGTTGTGTGAGACCCTGAGACACCGGGCATGGGCTGAGGCCTGGGTGGGAAGGGGCACTCAGGAGTCTGGGAATGTGAATACCACGATGCCTTACAGGTCATTATGTTTACCCAACAATCCAGAGAGAAAAAGTCACCCAAACACACTCACACTGCAGGGCAGAATGTAAAATATATGTGGCTATCAGGTGATGATGCATGAAACTTTGAAAATATTTCAGGTTTCTTGAGGATCTTCTTGAGTTAAGGCACTGAGGCCCTTTAGGGTCTGTGCATGCCTCTCTCTTCCTCCCCTGGAGGTCTAGGGTGGGAACTCAGAAGTGGCTGTAGGGTACCATCAACCAGCAGTCAGCCGCCCCCAGAGTGCTGGCAGTTCAAGTGGGGCTGAAACATGTATTTAAAGTAAATACTGAGCTGTCCCCGGAAGGCAGGGAGCACATGGCCCAATTTCTCAGCCACGTCTAAATCACTGGTATAAAATGACCAGATTTAACAAAGCATCAGATTTCAGGTGGTTTATTTCAGTAGCTGTAGTCCAGCAATGGGATCATTATAGTAAAGCCCATCTCAGTGTTTCTGAGGCTTCAATCACACAAGAAACATCAACACACATATTTTACAGCATCACAAACTATGACAGTGAAAAAGCAAGTGTTTCAGAAATAAAGGGAAGGTCTGTGGTAAATTAAAAATGATAACTGTTTTGTTCTACTCATCATAAAATTTTATGGGACTAAAACTAAACAGTGCATGTCAAAATTATTTTGCTTTTTGGACCTTTTAGACATTTAATATTTTAGACATTTAGCAATGAAAAAGGCATTTTCAAAGACTCTTTGGCTCTTGGGAAAAACAAAGTATCATTATGTGATGTCATTATTAAATAGTTATGAAGTAATTTATTCATGACTGATGCTAGCTTTCAGTGTGTCTTATGCCAATTGACTGTTTCATGAATGTTCAGGAAAAAACCATCAGAGGACTAATTTAGCTCAGTTGATCTGGTTTTCTCCTTTCATTAATGAGTGGAAATAGCACGAATGAATATTTGCTTAATACCAAATTTTAACTTTGTAGAAATAATTCGTGATCCAAGACAGATATAAAATCTAAATTTTGCTTTGTCTTTAAGGACTAAAAGCTTCATAGCACAAGGAAAACGCCAGGCTGAGATGTGAGACAGGGCCAGTGAAGACACCCTGCTAAGAGGGACCCAGGCATTTTTTTCAGCATGATCCTAACACTTGGATTTTGTGGCTTTATATTATTTGTTATTTTCAATATTATCAATAAAGCAATACCCCTCCCCTTTCTTCATAATGAAGTAACTTCTTACACTACATGGTAAGAGGTTAAATGCTACCTTAATACATTAAATCATACTAATACTTACACTGTTCATTTTGCAAATAAGTTGATTTTGTTCTTCATTTTTCTTTCTAAGCTCAGTTTCCAGATCTAATATTTTAATTTGCAAAGCCCTCTCTCGAGACGATATTTTCTCTATTTCTTCAGAGACCTGAAATTTTTATTAAGAAAATCAAATAACTTAAAGGCCTGATAGAGTTATACTGTACCTCTTTTTTCCAGATAGGCATTAGATTAATTTAATTAGAAAATACTGAAAGATGTTCTATCTTAAAAAATCAGTTTGTGTAAGTATGTATGTTTAGCTTTGTAGCAAAAATATGGTAGGATTAACTCGAGAGGGGAGGGATACCTTTCCACTGCTTTGTAACTTAGCCAGGTATTTTCACAACAGCCTATTTTTAAACATAATTGCCATTTTAAATAGTATTTACATTCACCATGGTTTCTAGGGTGGTGAGGCAGGATAGACAGTTCTCATTACACACTGATTATATACTTGGACAGAATCTGGGGACAGGGAAAATATATATACACTCTTCACAAAAACACACGGTACTGGTTTCTCATTTATTTAGTTCCACAGGAGTCTAAATTTGAGTTTTCATATTTCTGATTGCTAATTTTAGCAGAAACTCTGGCTTAGCTATGATCACCCAAAGATTAAGATATCTGGGGGTCTATTTTTAAGAATGTTTGGTTAGAGGTTGGCTCTGAGACAAGGAGCTAGAGGGAAGAACTGTCTTCTAATCTAATTCCCATGGACAAAGTTCTAAGTTACTACAAAGTGACTTACAAAGATCTCTTCTACCCAAATCCCAAAAGCACTTGGGAGTGAGTGCTGCCAAGAGAATCTAAAGCTGTGGGAAAAGGGGCATTTAGCAGAAACATCTACACTCTTGGCATTGTCCCCTCACGCAGAGAGGGATGGCAAGGCAACAAGAGCAGCCCATAGAGGGCAGCAACCATACAGTCACATGCCCACATGCCACCGCAGCAGGAGACAAATGGAGGGCACATACACCTCTGAGGACTCCCAGGAAGACTCCTTCAGGAAGGAATCTGAGGGCAACAGCCTTTTCCAGAGTCGATTCTGACTGAACTCAAAGTCAGTAGACCATGTCAATAATTGGCAATATATTTTATACTTTGATCTTCTACAGTATCTGTCAAGATATATTTAAATTGGTTTCCCAGAGCTCAAAGAGAGAGAGAGAGAGAGAGAGTGAAAGAGAGTGAGAGAGTGTGTGTGTGTGTGTGTGTGTGTGTATGTGAGAGAGAGAAACAGAGACTGACTGACTTGTGGGATAACAGCAACATTTTAAGGATGCCAGATTTTATCTTTTACAGAACTGCTATTAATGAACTTGTGGAAGACCTTGAGAAGAAGCAAATTTGAAGGGAAAATACAGAAATTACTTTTAGACATTTTGAATTGGAGGCACCCATGTTAAATACACGTGGAATACAAGTCAACATTTCAGTGGGAAGAGAAGACTGAGTGGAAAAATACATGTGAGTCATCGTGATACAGATGATAACTACTGAGCATCACTCAGTTCTTCAAAAACCTCATCACCCCATTTTAGTGATAAAGAAACTCAGGTGTAAAGGCATGAACTGAAATAGGTACAACATGCAACTGTCAGAGCCAGAATTTAAATCCTGCTCCTGAAGGCCTCCAAAGTCCAACTTTTGTTTGTTTTATTATTTTTTTTAATTTTATTTTCTTTGGGTAAAAATGTTCAAGGGCTACAGGAAAGTGGGTAAGACTATTTTTTTTCCATATTGTTTCCTTCATGTTTAAAGGGGGGTATTAAGGGAGAAGGCCCACCCAATAAGGGGACAACCCTAGCTGGGTTGAGCTTCTCACCAAGAGGTGTGTGACCTGGAATGGGTGCTGCATTCTGATCTTTTGTTTGTTTTAAACCAGGTTTTCAAGTGACTTTAAGTCACTTGCTTCTTCTCTGAGCTCTTCCTTTCTCACCCTTTCCCCTCACCTCCAGCTACAATGGCCACTGCCTCCAGTGTACCTTGAACCCACCCTCTGCCAGAGCAGTCAGCTGGGGGTGACATTCACTTAACACACCACTTTCTCCTAGACTGCAGGTATTCCGATAGCTGAGGCCAGGCCTTCCCTTCTTTGCAAATCAAGCTAATACCAAAGAGCTTGACACACAGGGAGGTACCGTGTTACCAATGATTAGTAATCTGATGATTTTAACTAGAATTTAATTGTTGCAGCTACTTATTTAATCAACAGTATATGTCAAAGGGATTTGAGCCTCAGAGCTCACCAAACTAGCCCAAATGCAAAATTTCCATTTCCAGTGCAACTTGTTTTATATTAAAAATGCAAGGTGGTTCGAGGTATGCTGCATCAATGCTACCTCCACCTAACTGCACTGGCATCCCGTATGGGTGCCTCTACCTATCCCGGCTGTTCCACTTTCAGTCCATCTCCCTGCTCATGAACTTGGACAGCAGCACAAGATGGCCCAAGTTCTTGGCCTCTGCATGCACATGCACACAGGAGATATGGAAGAAACTCCTGGCCCCAGGCTTCAGAATGAGCCAGCTCTGGCTACTCTGGCTATTTAGGAAGTGAACCAGCAGATGGAAGAGCTCTCTCTCTTTCTCTTTCACTCTGTTTCTTTTTCTCCCTCTCTCTCCACAACCCTGACTTTCCAAGCAAAATAAATAAATCTCAAAAGGGAAAAAAAAAAAATAGAGGGGGTGGTAGTGACTGGCTTCAAAGTGTTTTCCATCTCTGCTCAAGAATCTGCCACATCACCACTCATCTGAATCAGTAATGGACCTGTTTTGCTCCCCTTGGACAGCAGGCAAAAAAACAAAAATGTAATAACTCCCTTCACCCTGTCATCAGGACAAAAACCAATCACAGGCTTGGCAAGATTAGATATTGTCTGTTGAAAAACAACTCTTTGGTAAACTAATTAAAAAGTTTCTAAACAAAGGCCATCTGTACCTTTTGTCTTCCTTCCTCTAAAGCAGCTTCCAGTTGCCTGGCCAAGGCTGTGTATTCTGCAGACTTCTCTTTAAACTTCAGATTGCTCTGTTTAAGACACTCCTCTTGGTTTGCCAATTTCTTTTCAAGCTCTTTGTTTTCTGCATCCATTTGCTCCAATTTTCTTTTTCCAAAAAAATAATGTATTTTAAAATTAGTGTAGGAAAAAAAAATCTAACACTAACATTAAGTCAATTTAATACTTACTGTTGAAGGCTTTCACACTTCAACTGAATAAGGTAATTTTCCTCTTCCAGAGAAAGCTTTGCTAGATTGTTACTTCCTTCAATCTGAAAGGAAAAATTTTTTTCTTATCTATCTGTTCATAATCAATTTTCAAAAAAATAGACATGTTTCATTGCTAGAAAAACCATAAGAAACAAAAGATATAAATATGATTATTCCTATACGAAAAGACAATGACCAATGTTACAATGTTAAAATACAAATTCTTACATTTTTGGATCAGTTAAAAAAAAACAAAGTTTTCATTTTGGAAAATCATTAAATGTAAACATTTCTAGGAAAAAGTAGTTAGATTGTCCTTAACAATAATTTATGGGAAAATAATATGTATTTTATTAAACTTCCTATTTGGAGGATATTTAAGTGTCTTATTTATAGTTTTTTATTTTAATTTAAAAAATTAACTGATAACTATATCATTGAATCTGTAATTTTAAGTAAAAATCATGTTTTTGAGATGCAAAATAAATCAGCCACAGACACACTTGCCCATGAAAAGAACATTTCTGTTGACTGCTTCAAACACTGATTTATTTAAAGTATTAAGCAGCTTTGATAATAATAAAATTCACCTAGTAACTTAGGTTGACCTATGTAAAATGATATTTTTCTAGAAAAAATTCTTCTCAAGATCTTAAGGTCATCAAAATGTTGTGTGCTGTGTCTTTGTTTTTATTTATCTGATAAATTATCTGACAAATAAACACAAACACACTCACACAAAGAGAGAGAAAGAAAGAGAGGGAGTAAAAAATCAGAACGAGACAGAGCACCCAGTTGGTCCACTCCCCAACATCCTACAACAGCCAGGGCTGTCTGGTCAAGTCTTCCTCAAGAATGCAGGCACTCCATTACTTGAACTATCACAGGTGCCTTTTATGGTTTGCATTAGCAGAAAGCTGGGTCCAGGAACAAAAACAGGGAATCAAATCCAGGTATTCCAGTGTGGGATATGGGTATTTTAGCTGGCATCTCCATCCAGTAGCTAAATGCTTGCCCATGTATGGTTAAAAACAAAAACAAAAATCTTTATAATACAAGGATGAGGTCAGGCAGGTGTTCCTCCTTAAACTGCTTTGCAAATAAAAAATGAAAAAGACCTGCCACCACTCTTGAACATGCTTCTTGTGACTTTGGAAAAAGCAACTAAATAACTTATGTGATAGTCAAGGAGCTAGGATATGACTATGCGGGACTAATAGGACATACACAATATATGTTTTACCGTGATGTAGAAAAAAATAACATTGAGAAAAATAAACACTGAAAATACTTCCCAAAACCACAATACTCAATTACATTCTTTGTAAGGTAAATTACAGTAATTTACATTTACCTAACATCAGCAAATACGTAGGCACAGCTTTACTCCTTCTTTCATGCTATTATTACATCCTCAGATGTCTAAATACACATTTGCATGAAAAAGGTAATTTAACACTTTCCAATACCAAATTTTCACCATAAAATGCTAAAGGCATAGCTTGCAAAATATTACAGTGTCTGCATGAAAATGACATTTCAAACACCCGATGTATATGGGAATAAAATAATCAAGCCCTGTTCCAGGGGCGAGGCATTCCATAACCCACACAGCAGAGCTGAGGTCGCCCACAAGACACCTGGCCCTGCAGCTCCCTAACGGTGTGCGCCTGGTCCGCACACATCCCCTTGCAGCGCTGCAGGTTCTCCTGACACTCGCGAAGCCTCCTCTCGGCCGCCGTCAAGGAATCACGCACGTGCTCTAACTCCTGCATCTGAGACTCCATCTGGCCTCTCATCTGAATTGTGGCATTAGAGGAAACAAGTGCAAGATCACACATTCAGCATTAGTATTTTCACTATCGTAAGTACTAGATATGCTTGTAATGTAACAAGGGTGTGAGCTACAATGGCTTTGGCCAAAAAGATTTAATAGAACAAATGAGAATAAACACTTTTCAATTCTGACGTGTAAGAATATATATCTAAAACATGAGTTGGACATTAGCTTTCAAGCAGTTTGCTGAACAATGAAATATAGTAACATTAACTGGCAAGGGGGAAAAAAGAAAATAAATATGTTGTATCCTGACGTTATATTCCAGCCTAGACAGTGGTATTAATAAATAAATTAATAGAGCTGGTACAGTTTTTCTTCATCCAGATATTAGCTCTACGGGACTTATCACCTTTAGGAACTCAGAATTAGAAATCAGACTTCACTAAACCAGAGTAGCCTGGTCTCTCAGCTCAGCATGGTGGGTTCACCCAACTATTTCAAGACAAGAAATAGTATCAATTCTCACAAGACTACTCTTATCATTTCTGTTACGATGATGAAATCACTCCAATTTTATCTACACTGATGTCTTTGGCTGCTGTGCTTTTATGGAGATGTGACAAATAGCAACCTTCAGAAATGCCTGACTCAGAAAATAGTGGGAGCAAGAACCAAGGACACTCACAGAAGCAAAAACCAGAACTAGGTTATCTCCCCGAGTCAGGGAATACCTGGAGCTTCTAGGCAACACTAGGCATTCTTGATCAAAAAAGATAAAACCAGAACAAACTGCACCTTGTGTCCTCAAAACATCTAGGAGTCATAATAAGATTAGCACAAAGGAATGCATAGATAATTTAATCTCATTAAAACAGAAGCAAACTACTTTTCTGTAAAGTACCAGTAGGAATACCTTGTGACCTCCCAGTACCTGGCCAACAGGCTGCTGACCCTTCTGCTTTTCGAGTAGGTTCTTAAACAGGCAGAAGAGATATGTGCACTGATGAGTTTCATGAGAAGAGACCAAAGAACATGAAGTGGTTTCCCATATGTCTGCTAAAAACAGGAGAAAACCACTTTTCAGGGTGCAGGGACAGGTGCATCCGGAGGGTGCGGGTGCGGGCCAACATCTTCATGCCAGCGCCTCCCTCTGACCTCTCACTTCCAGAGCAAAGGCTCCCAGCGAATACAGAAACCCTACTACATGGGAAGTGACTGCTCACATCCCATGACCTGGCCAGCCTTCTCACCAAGGCAGCAGGAAACTCTAAGGAGAGACAAATCGTTTCATTTAAAAAGTTGGAAATATTCACAAAAACATCGTAACTTGCCAACACTAGCCTTCCCTTGATTCTCCTGCATTAAGGTAAATAAAATAAAAAATGATGGGGTTTTTTTAGAGATATAATTTTTCTCCCAAAAATGCATTCAACAGAAAATGCTTATTTTGCATTTTTAGACACAACAGATATACAAGCAGAAGAGAGAGATCAATCTGCAAACTTACAGTGGATGAAGGTTAGTGACAAACATTCTGTTTTTTAAGTCTGCTTTTAATAAAAATTCAAAAATTTATGCTGTTTCTTTAATATAAACAAATAACATTTTTAAACCTGGAAGAAATATTATTTCCCTAGGAAAGAAACTTATTCTAAGATTCAGAACTATACCTTGGTAAGAACTAGAGAAAATTATCAAAGTATACATAGTATTCATAAAGTTAAAAACATATCGGTTACTATTTGATTATTTGAAATTTTAACTTACTTTCTCTATTTTTTTATTTTTCCTTTTTGCTATTAGTTTATTTTCACATAGCAAATTTTCACATCTGCTTTTCACCACTTCAGCAGCTTCTTGTAACTTTTGTACCTGAAAAAATAAAATTACTAGAGTGTCATTTATTATGTCAGGACTTCATATGAAATAAACAACTAAAAATATGATTTTTCATTTGAAGAAATAATTATTTTCTTATAAATGATTGTCTAATGTAACTCTTTAAATATGAAATCACTAGAGGCCAATGTTGTGGAGTAGCAACTTAAGCCTTTGCCAGTGACACAAGCATCTCAAATGCATGATCATTCAGGCCCTAGCTGCTCTATTTCCTATTCAGCTCCTTGTTAATCCGCCTATGAAAGCAGTAGAAAAATGCTTGAACTCTTATATGCACACAGATGACCCAGTAAAAGCTCCTGACTCCTGTCTTCAATGTGGCCCTTATGGTCATTTGGAGAGTGAACCAACAGATGGAAGATATCTGTCTTTCTCTCTCATTCTCTCAATTTGTCTCTCAAATAATAAATAAAGTCCACATGGCCCTTGACAGAAAATAGGTTTTTTAGCCCTATTCTACGTCAACACCTTTAAATATAAAAGATAACAAACAAATACAATCAAGATTAATAGGATCATACATTAAGGTTCATATCTACATAACTAACTTAAAATATACCTTTAGGTACAGCCAATACATCCACAGGTAGTATTCACATCAAAAATTAGAAGAATCATTTATTTGGGAACTTAAAATTACCTCCTATGGCACCAGCATCCCATATGGGCACCGGTTCATGCACTGCTCCATTTCCAATCCAGCTTCCTGCTAATGGCCTAAGAAAACTAGTGGAGGATGGCCAAATTGCTTCAGCCACTGCTCATATATGAGAAACCTAGAGAACTCCCAGCCCAGCCCTGGTCACTGTGGCCTTTTGGAGAAAAAATCAGAGGTTGGGAAATTTCTCTTTCTTTCTCTCTCTTTAGAGAGTAAATCAGAGCTTGAAAATTGTGTGTGTGTGTGTCTCCATCCCTCCTCTCAATATCTCCTATTTTCAAATATATGAAACAAGCCTTTTTTTCTTAAAATTTATTTCACATATTTGAAGGGTAGAGTTACAGAGAAAGAGAGAGATCTTCCAGCCACAGATTCACTCCTTAAATGGCCACAACAGCCAGGTCTGAGCTAGATAGAAGCCAGGAGTTCATTATACCACAATACCAGCCCCAATAGATAAATCCTTGAAAGAAGAGAGAAAAGGGAAAAAAGGGGGAGGAAAAAAAAGAAGAAAGAAAGCAACGTTGTTTGGGACCTGGGACCTATCATATTATGCCACATAATAATATCCCCACCTCTCTTCAGTTTCATTCAGTTAAATGGCAAACACACACGTTATTTTAAATTATCTACCAACTTTAACAAATATTAAAATAGATGAAGCTATTACCTGAGTTTCATATACTTTAATAAGGGCTTTTTGCTGTTTTTCCACTTCTTGTAATTCATGTAGTTCATTTTCTACAGACACTACTTCATCCTTCAACGAAGCAAGTGTAGTCTAGCAAAGAATGCATAGATGCCTATAAGTCAGGAGAATGCAACCACAGCCCAATGCATTTTAATGTCTAGAATGCCTTTAATGTTTAGAATCCTAAAGCTGTAACTCACTTACCAACTAAGTTAATAATTTTACTAATGTATTATTACAATTCAAAATTCAGGAATTTTAAAGGAGGTGAATAAAAATAACACTTCAAAGAATTACATAGGAAATCACATTTTCTACAAAATTAACTGAGAAAATAAATCATATTCCTGGTTATAAAAAAAGCAATATTATTGATGTATCAGTCAGCCTTTTCCAGATTAACTTAAAAATTCATATTAACCAACCAAAACTATAACAGAAGAAATATGGAAAAACTAATTTAAAATTCACATGTACGAATACTTAAGAAATAATTTTGGTCCAAACCTCTGCCCTCTGTTCAAGCATCCTTGACCTCAAATCTCTCTTTACCCAATCCCTACCCCACAGTTCTGTCCCTTCTAAAATAAAGTTTTGTCTACTTTAAAAAAAGTTTTGAAATGAAATGTGAGTAGAGAATAAGTGCTTATTAGACATTAAAATGTATAAAGTGTTAAAGCTATTGAGACTAATTAATGATATAAAGATAATAATATAAACAGAAAAAATCCTCAAAAACTATCCTTAGCAGACAATAAAAGTTATGGTTTTAAATCAATGTGGAGAACAATTGTGTCAACATGCTTACCATAAATGGCAAGAGGACAGCTCGAGCTATTATGAGGGAAATAGGCTAACTATCGCCTCAACACTGAAGAAGCAGGGGAGGAATGACATAATACACATAAAAATATTAGTTAATATAAATCAGGGGAAATATAGGTTTCACCAAAGTGTAATGTGTATCTGCTAAACGGATATTTTGAGATTTGATTATTGTTTAAGCCCTTGTCTATATTTTTGAAGAACAGTAGGTTTTCCATTTTTTACTTGTTAAATTATTTATTTAGTGGAGTTAAGCTTGTGATTATAATGAAAACTGGAGTATATCATTGTAAAAGAAAAATGAGGAGGAGGCAACAATGGAATAAGAAGGAGTGAGGGAATGGTGGGAATTATTAAGCTTTTAAGATTGTAATAATGAAGTACAAAATTGGTATTACAAAAATGAACTTAGAAAAGAAATTAAATATTTATATATATATAATAAATCAAATACTTTTTAAAGATTACTGTAAACTGGAATTGAGGACAGGAAAACCTTTGTAAGCATAGTCAAGAAGATCTAGTGAACTGGCACCTAGGGTCGGGGATGTCACACTCTGACAGTGTCTCCTGAAGAGTCCCCTGAGTCAACAGAGCGGACTTCATCAGTCACCACAGGGACAGCATGCATGTGGATAGAAAGGCACCCTACGTCACTGCTGGGAGACATGCACAACAACTACAGAAGGCAGTATGGTGAGTGCTAAGACAACTGAAAATCGATAAATTATATGACCCAATTCATCCACTTCTGGGAATACAGCCAAAGGAAATGAAACTTATGTATGAGAAAGTGACCTGCAACCCTATGTTTATAGTAGCACGATCCATAACTGTGAAGACATGGAAACTCAGACGCTTGTCAAAAGAGGAGTGGATAAAGAAATGGTGGTGGGACAACTACTCCACAGAATACTACTCAGCCATTAAAAAGAATGAAATTCTACCATTTGCAACACAGTGGTCCCAACTGGAGAACATTATGCTCAGTAAAATAATTCAATCCCCCAAGAACAAATATCATGTGTTCTCTCTGACATAAGACAACCTTCATGCAAAAAAGCAAACAAAACAGATACATAGGTAAACATGTACCTACCAAAGGAACTGTATAATTGAAAGTGAAGATACGTTGTAATATGCATCTCTATTTCCAAATAAAAGAGGGACTCGCAATGACACTGTTAAATACTCATTAATGATACTAGATTTTCCATCATAGCCAATGTCCATAATGCCATGATACACTTAATTCGCAGAAAGTTAGACTTGTGACTCTTTTACTGAAGGACTATACTATTGTTATAATATAGGGAAACAGGAAAGGGAGGATGAAAGGGAAATCGCAGAGTCTAAGAAACTCTATTACATAAAATAAAAAATAGAAAAAAAAGATCTATTTTAAAATGCTTAAAATGAGTTCATACACATTTTATATTTACTTCTTCATTTTCTTTTAATTTATGTACTTTTTCTAGAAATATTCACTCCAAAACAGTGAAGCCAGTTTAAAGAAAAACAGATGTCATGAGTTTACATAACATTAGTTTATTATAAAAGAGGCACCGCGATTATTTACAGGATGAAAGATTTCAGAGTTTCAATGAGATGGCATCTTTATGTGATGTAATTTTCAAACAGTGATTTTAGTATACTTGTCTTCCAGTAGTCACCATCTCTAAAGGCAAAATAATCCTTGTTGTCCAGAACTACTTTAATGCTCCCATAATCCAGAAGAATTTTACCTCCAACTTTCCCACTACCTAGTTGAATCTCCATCATTTCCTTGGTGCCTGATCCAACAGGCTCCACTACTGTTGGCTGCAATGCTTTTCCTTGAGCTTTTTCTAAGCGCATAATGACACCTTTGGCTACAGTTTCTGTGACACTTTTCAGCCAACACTTTGTCAAAGAAAGAAACTTCCTAAATGCTTGCCCTGGCATGGCCCCTGTGCTAATTCCCATTCTGGTCTCACCACCGCAAGGAGAGACCAGATGTCCAGAAACATCCCTCATTTTACATTTTTAAGTAAACAGAGAAAGATGTTATTTTAGAGACAATTATAAAAAAAAAAAAAAAAAAAGAAATGTCACAGAAGATGGGCAACTGCGGGAGAGTTGGAATCAAAGATCACTTCATTTTTTCCTTTCTGTATTTCTACATTTTTTTTAACTGAGTACCTATACAGCCCTCAAAAGACAATACTGCTAAAAAAAAAAAAAAAAAGGATGAATATTGATAAAAAAAAAAAAAAGTAGTCAAAGCAACAGTATTCCTAAAGAAGCTAAAGTGAGAGAAGTAGGACCCGGCTAGTCCTCTACTTTGTGCCGTATCCTCCACTCACCCCCTCTAAGCACCACAGCCAAGGGGACTGGCACTGTCAAGTCCTACACTTCAAATTCACCACGTCAGTGCAGAGGGAGTTTATGAACCTTGCCCATTAATCTAAAGATCATGGAACTGAACAGTGAGAAAAGCAACCAATTTTATAAACCATTGGAAAGGCGTGTGCCTTCTGTTACAGAGGGTAAGCAACCACTAATTGACCATACAAGGTACAGTGCAACACCCTGCCTTCCCCACAAAGACAGACCAGGAGCTGGAAAAGAGGTCAGTCCCTGGGACAATATGCCAAAATCTCCAATGGAAAACAATTCTCCCTCTAGTACTTCCTGAAGATACAAGAGGAAAGGGGGTTTAGAATGGGTAAAGGAGACTTAGATGTATCTCCTCTTGGGAGATAGTAGGGAATTTTTGGTATTTTTCAGTTTTTGTTTGTTTTTTTTTAAGATTAACAATTAAGCAACTGAAAGCCTAGAATGTCATCATTTTCTCAGGATGGTTTCTTCAGTAATGATACGTAAAAGATGAACTGTATAATGAAGACTAGCATACTGGGAAGTAAAGATGTGCTGCAGTTATACATCTCCATTCCCGAGTAAAAGGAGGACTCCCATTGAAACTAGTAAGTATACCTTGACAATAAGATACTAGACTTTCTACCACTGTCTATACGCACCATGCCATGATACACTTAAATAGCAAAAATTGGAAGTGTGACTGTTGCTTAAGGATTATACCATTGTAGTAATAAAGAGGACAACGACAGGGAGGATATGGTAGGAGAAGAATCCCTGTACCTATGGAAACATACTATGAAAAATTTTAAATAGTAAAATTAAAAATAAGTCTATGTTTTCTCTTTTTTTTTTTAAAGATTTATATTATTTTTATTGGAAAGGTGGATATACAGAGAGGAGAGACAGAGAGGAAGATCTTCCGTCCAATGATTCACTCCCCAAGTGAGCGCAACAGCCGATGCTATGCCGATCCGAAGCCAGGAGCCTCTTCTGGGTCTCCCATGCGGGTGCAGGGTCCCAAAGCTTTGGGCCGTCCTCGACTGCTTTTCCGGGCCACAGGCAGGGAGCTGGAAGGGAAGTGCGGCTGCTGGGATAGAACTGGCGCCCATATGGGATCCCGGGCGTGCAAGGCGAGGACCTTAACCAATTGTGCCACTGCGCCGGGCCCTATGTTTTCTCTTATTAAAAAATATATAGAGGGCTTGGCATGATGGCTTCACCTTGTAAGCACTGGGATCCCATATGGGTGCTGGTTAGTGTCCCAGCTCTTCCATTTCCCATCCAGCTCCCTGCTTGTGGCCTGAGAAGCAACAAACAATGGCCCAAAGCCTTGGGACCCTGCACCTCTGTGGGAGAGCCAGAAGAAGCTTATTGTTCCTGGCATGGGATCGGTTCAGCTCTGGCCATTGCAGCCACCTGGGGAGTAAACCAGGAAAACGAAGATGTTTCTGTCTGTCTCTCCTTCTCTCTGTAAATCTTTCTAATAAAAATAAGTAAATATTTTTTTAAAAATTATAAGAGTAAGTACTGTATAATGGGTTAAGCTGCTGCTTAGGATGCTTGCATCAGATACTAGGGTGCCTAGAATCAAGTTCCCCATTTGTTTCCAACACAGCTTCCTGCTAATGTGCATGTGAGGCAGCAGATGATGGCCAAGTCTTGGGTCCCTGCCACCCATGTGAGAAACCAGGATGGAGTTCCCGGCTCCACGTTTCAGCTGGATGCAACACCGACTACTGTAGGCATTTGGGAAATGAATCAGTAGATGGAAGGCCTCTGTCTACCTCTCTCTCTCCCTCCCTTCCAACCTCTCCCACAGTGCCTTTCAAATAAATCTTTAAATAATTAATAAAAACAAACCATTGCTATTGTTACATAATGCCTACATAATTTTAAACATCCAGTAAGTTATAATTTTTTCCAAAAGAGGAAATGAGTAACTTCCTAATATGAAAAAATAAATAGAAAGGTTAACTCTTAAAAAAAGAAAAAAATGGAGTCTTAAGTGCCACACAGACACAATAAAGACCATGTAGTTGTAAATGTACTGCTAAAGTTTAACTGCTATAAATATGGAAAACCATGTTAGTCGCTAACTTCACAAACTTCTCTAAAATGTATTTTGTTACTGATAACACATTCTAATATACTATCATTTACCCTGTGCACACACACTTTATTTAATGGTTCAAAATGAGGTTTACTTTGTCCTGCAAGGAACTTCAAAAAGTTCATGAAAAAAATGGAATTAAAAGATAAGTTTGTTTTGATCATAAAAATCTTTTGAAATCTAAGCAGAGTATTTCCTATTATATATTTTCTATGAACTTTTTTTAAAAGTCCTCATATTTTCCGCCCTGCAATGTAGTGTCATGGAACTGGAAGCTATCAACTTTGGTCAAGTCACCCCATGTTACATGTCTCTCTACTCTCTACTTACTGAGAGCTCATATATCTTCTTTTTCAGAAAGTATAAAATGTTTTCCCCACTTCTTCTCTCATACACAGACAAACCAATCGCCGCTTGGATTTGTTTGACTAAGTTGGAAAATTCTTTCTGGTTATAAAGCAGCCAAGAACATACTTTGTGGTTTCAAATAGACCAGGCCTGAGGTTATACTCTATCGTAACCATGACACCTAGAAATAGTCTTACGCATTATACTTAATGTAATTTTGGATGATTCACTTAACTGCTAAAATGGAAGAATAAATAAATTTTCTTGAAGTTGAGGCATAGAGATAGTTATTTAACTTTAAAAATCTTATTTTTTACTACTGTAAGCAATTTTAGTTTTAACTTTAGTATCTGTGTATACAGCTATAAACAAAAGTACATATACCAGTAAGTATGTGTGTATATACGCATTAATACAGGTAGGTAGGACAGTTTTCGAAGTCACCTATCATAATGATACTGGTAAAGGACAAAATAATACAGGAGTATTATGTTAAACATGCTGGCTTTACAAGCCCTTCCATGAAACACAATAAACTGTGATCATACAACACACAGCACACATCCCTGCTAATACCTTTAACTTTGTATTCTCAAGATTCAGAGTTTGTTTTTCATTCTCAATTGATTGTAGTTTTCTAAGAATTTCTTCATATGAATTTTTACCGTGGGCTTCCATTTTCTTTATGTCCTCCGAAAGATTAACAATTTGCCTTCATAAAATAAATAACATAGTTGATTAAAAAAAGTCACATAAATTTTTATTCCAGCAACTCGTGTCACGTGCATTTCTGAAATCATTTTGGCAGGGTGCACCGTGTAGAAGCACATAAACAGGAAGTTAACAGAACTCACACAACAAGACAAAGAAGAAGAAGCTATCTGACATTACCAACAGAGTAATCATGACTAGAAACAACTACCCATAGGTGATGCCAATGAGAAACGTCTGCAGTACTCTCCATCCAGTAAGTGTCTCACCCACCATCCACACCTGTGACCATCTCTTTCCTACCAGTGAAGGCACACATGCACACACACAGTTGTAGGGATAAGGTGGAACAAAAAGATCACATAAGTCAATTACAACTAATCTTGAGAAAGTTTTCAATGATAAAACTGAATATACTTGAATTCTTTACCTAGTGGAGTGTTAAGCTTGAGTCTACAAAGTGAAATCAAAATATGTCATTTTTTTTAAAGGAGGGGAAGGGTGGGTGAGGAGCACTGTCAAGTGCCACCATGCAGCTAAATCTGTATCACGAAACACATGAATACATGTTCCCTTTATATAAATAAGATATAGAAAAGTGAAACATCTAAAAACAAATATTTAGAACTCACTACTGTTAACTTTCCAGTAACACATTTAAAAGCATGAGATTTTTTTTCACTCATTGGTTTTCTATAAGTCAGCCCAACTAAGAATATTACTTTTTAGAATTTCAAACCATTTATGTATCACAATCTTTGTTTCATGAAGATAAAGAGTTTGTACAAAATGGAATGAAGACATTAAGTTTATTTTGCTGCAAAGACAAAATTTAAGTCCTTTTCATGTGGGAAGGGAGCGTCTTTACAAAGCTCATGAGAATGCATATTATGAAAAAAAAACTATGCAGGAAGTTTCAAAAATGTTAGCAGCAAAAAAGTTATCTTTTAATTTCATTTTCTACAAGCTCTTTTAAGTTCCCTCATATAATCTTTTACATTCTTGTTTAATAAAGAAACATTACTGCCACTGAAGACACACTTACTATTAATATATACTAGAAATAGCTGATACGTTTAGTCACATAACTAACCTACAAGTTCAAAGTTGCAGAATGTGAAAACCAGCTCACTTTTAATGAATAATGACTTTTACTGTGTTTCATAGTGGAGTAATAAAAGCTTACAGTTACAAGTAGCAAAAATAAATCAGATAGCACCTCTGCTATATTAGAACCAAAATACAAATCACTCAAAGACCAAAGAACCAAAAACATTTCTTACTAAACAGTAAAGAAAGATCCCAAATTCTTACGTTTTCATTGTTTCAATCTGAACTTCCAATTCGGTTTTCTCTATTACAATTTTCTCGTAATGACTTTTCCAGGCATTGGAAGCTGAAACTGTTTCAGACAACTTGGCTTCCTAAAAAACACATAAAGTACTGATCTTGTAACTTAAAAAAAAAAAAATGTTGTTTTGTTCAGGGCTGTAAATACAGACACTTCCTAAACAAGTAAACATTCTTCCAAGACAGTATGAAACCCAAATGGAAAAAAGTCCAGTATACAGCATTGAATATAGGAAAGTTTTAAAGTCTACTTTAAACCGAATAGCAATATTGCTAATATTCTACATGCACATAATGATAGCTCCAAGGTAACATTTTAAAAAATGTTGATGCAGTTATTTTAAAGCAATATATCAGAATAAATGAAGATAATTTCCTTTCTATTTATTGAGCTTTTCATTTTATATCCTATATTCATAAAATGCAAAACAATTATAAAAGCTTCGGAGTGTGAGGAGGAAAAGAATCCTACTTTGGTAAACATGGGGACTACTTCTAATTCCACACTTCTTTTTTTTTGAGTTTTGAAGACGATTTATTATCCAATTAAAGCTAACTGATGACTTCAGAAACCAATGAACTGAAATGCATTTGTAAACTTATTGGCATGAACATATAATCAAAAAAAGTGTTTTTGATCAAGTGGTGATAGAATTCCATAAGTTAATTTAAAGGCTGTAAGTGACAAAACACAAATAATCACATACTTTTTGAGTAAGTTAAATAAAAATCTAAGAAGAAAGATTTAATACAAAAACTATTTAGTATGATTGTATGCATTTTCTGTCTTGGCTGCTCAGCATGATTTTATTTTAATTGACCCTTTGAAGGGGTACTTTTGAAATTGGCCTAAATGTCTTATATAGGGCAAATTTTTCATAAAAGAGTTCTTTAAATTTAGACAGTTTCTGTCCAAAATCAGCTGTAAATTTTTTTCAATAACGGTGTTTTTGTAATATATTTTTATTTTGAATTTTTAATTATGTGGTACAATTTTGTATAGGCTGGGATTCCCCCTCAAACTCTCAACCCCCATCAGATTTTTCCCATTTTGTTACACTAGTGTAGTCCTTCATAAGGAATGATAATTCTATCAGTCTCTTCTTTAAGTGTACCCTGACATTGTTGGTATAGACAATGTCAGACAGTCCAGCACCCCATTATCTAAACATGTCCAACAGTTTCGTTGGGATTCCATCTTTCGTCTGGATGCAGGGATGCATGTTCCATTATACCCCCACGTCTGTATATAATAGACCCCAGTACTCTATCACTATACATTACCATAAGTGAGAAGCCATGAAACAAGGTCAACCACTGGTATGAGTCAGAACAGCCACAGCAACTAGACATGTAATCATTACCTATAATTAGTGTGGAGAACAGTACTTGATATGACATGCCTAAAATGTAGCACTAGTCAGGGAGGGAATTACCTTCATAGAAGAGATGTCCTAAGGTAACCCACCCTTTTTCTCTTTGTTTTGGAGATATGGCACATTTAAGCCATGAGAAACACAACTGGAATGTGTCTGATTTTCAAAGAAATAAAGGAAATCATCTTCAGGATACAGAATGACAGGATATTTCAACCATGGAAGTTCTGCCCAGCACTTCCAAAATCCACATTCTTCTCTCATCTTCCTTATAAACACACAGACACACAGCAACAATCCATTTGCCTCCTCTTTTACTGCACCAGAGTTCTCTGAAGCCAGTAACTAGTAGACACTTCCAAATTCTCATTCTCTCTGATCTCTGTAAGTACTTGGTAAGCTTTGGGCATTGCATAAAGATGAGATGATATTTTATTCAGTTCCACCCAGCTCATATCGAACTACTCATGTTTTGAACTTAAGAGGCCGTTATAGATAAGGGCACTCTCAGGTGAATGGGATAGGATGAGCAAGCCCATGCCACCCAGGAGCTTACACTATAGTGGAAGAATTGCTACCAAAAGAAGTAAACTTAAAAAAATTAGTGAGACAGTTTCATGTTTTAATGAATGCTATGGAAAACAAATGTACGATTAATTGCTAAAGGACTCCTTAAGAAATAGCCAGGGAAGGTCTCTCTGGAGAGACTTCAGCTGCAAAGACCCCTGAACAATTAGATAATAAGAACCACAGAACGAGCTGTGTTGAGCCAAGTAACAGCATGAAAGCTGGAGGTAGCAGCAAACAGAACAAAATGAGCTGTCCACCTCAGAGTAACAGGAAGAAAGAGCATGGCAAGGCAGTGGGACAGCCAGACACTGGGCTGCGATGCATGTCTCACTTATCCCCCACTTCACTCAGGTGACATGAGTCGTACCGTTGTCCTATTTTATAGAAAAAAAGAAATGGAAGCTTGGAGAAGTTATGTTCCTTCTCTGAAGTCACAAGTTCACAAATGGGGAATGGGTTCTCTACTGTGACCTGGGGCCTGCGAGATGTTAGGGAAACGGAAAACTCATGAAGTCAGGGCCTCCGCAGGCTTTTACCATTCAACATTGTCTCTCGTGTTCAGTCACATCTCCAACCTTCCTGATTTTGGACCGAGTCTTCAACTCTTACCTAAATTCATCTAAACATAGGTTGAACATGGGGCCTTCAACTGTTAACACTTGAGTTGCAAAGTATTCTTTTATTTTGCATGAGTTTTGTAAAATGTTTTCATTTCTGAATGCCTCTAACAGTTCTATAAACTGTAACCTAAGTTCTTAAGGGGGGAGGGGACACCAGGGCAGCATTCATTAATTAACTGAATAAATATAATAATTTGTCAATAACAACAGTTTTAAACTTTCTTCCATACCCAAAGATGTCTTTCACATGGTTTGTTTACATCAGTATGCAGTTTTAAATGCATTACAAAGATCAAGTGAGGCAAATTACTACTGAATAAAGTCATCTGGCCTAATAACATAAATCAGCATTTCCCAAACTTATTCCTCAGAACCAGTTCCAGGAGTTGCTTTGTGGGTAGAAGAAGCTCTCTGTGGTTAAGTAAGGATGGGAAAGTCTTAGTTCAGGACCCTTCATTACACTGTGCTTCTGACAGTCTTTGCAGGACTTCAAACATGCTAATATGCATGGGAACCCACCAATGCAGGGTAGGGTTAGCCTTAGTTAACAGCCTTGACATTTCCCTTATGTTCCCAAGAACACGCCGATATAATTCAATGTGCCAAATTAGCATTTTATGTAATCTTTCAAAATAAAAGATTAAAGCAAAAAGTAGTAGGGTTTTTCCAGTATCAATCAGAACAAAACCTTGATATTAAGCATCATAACATTCATGACACAAACCCCACAAAGCACCATCTTTAGAAAAGAGCAGGTGTACTTACCTGATCTCTAATTTGGGAAGTGATGTTTTCAATGTCGCCTGCAAAATGCTCAAGCCGCTGTTTATAAATCTTAGATGCCTTTTTCAGAGCTATAGCCTTCTGCCTACTGGCTTTTTTCATTGCTACTGCCTCCTGCTTACTGGTTTTCAACTGTAAACTCCACTTGGCTATCTTGGTTTCTAAGCCCTGAAAAGATAACAGACATAGGATTTCAGAATTCTGTTTATATAACCATTTTTAAAAAACACATCATCTTTATAGATTTTTCAGTTATTAAACATAAAATTAATAAAAAGCAAAACAGTGAAGTGATTTCATCAATGCTTTTTCATAACCAGTTAATGTAAGTAAATTGAAAACATATATGCCCACATAAAACTAATATTACCCTTATTAAGGCTATTAATATTGGTGACTTTGCTACAGATACTAGCTATCTTAAAAAATCTGAGATTAACCAGAACACTTTGTGCATATTTAGAATCTTACACATAGCCCTAGTTTAAAAAAAATAGCATAACTGAGCTAGACATGATCCACATAATATGCATGCAAAGCTCAAAAGCACAGGTACCCCCCGAATGTGGCCATGCCTTTAGTTCGAAAGACAAGGACATTTTAGTAAAATCTGTAAATCATGAAGGGTTCAGAAGATATAAAGATAGACTGATTTATCCAGTTTGAATTTACCAGGATCAGTAAGCACACCCCAACTCCAGAGTTCCAGTAAGGACAACAGAAGTGCCACTTGAACCAGCGAGAGCTAAGTCATTATGACATCATCAAACTTGGATTTAGATTAGCGAGTCACTATCAGATCCCCAAGATGAGGATGTCTGAGGCAGTGTGATGTTAATCAGCACGATCGTGCCATGCCTCTCGGAGCATAATGACACAACGTTGGGTTATGGACATGATTAGCTGATGTAGTCTGATAGGTCACATTTCAAATGATTTCAAGGCTGTTTGTGCAGAGTAAAGCAGCAAAGGACGCCCCAGTGCTAAAGGCCCTGACACCCACTTGGGCGATGTAGTTGGGACCTCTTGTTCTGGCTTCGGCCTGGCCCAGCCGCAGGAGCTGCGGTCATTTAGGAAGTGAACTAGCAGATAGAAGATCAATCGCTAATTCTCTATATAACTCTATCTAATTAATTAATTAATTTTAAAGGCTTCATCTGTAACGCTCCTAAGAATGGGGACTCTATTAATTTGAAGACTTAAGATTTTAATACTTTTCTGTTTTGAAAGTAGATTAGTATTGGGGGGGGGGGGAAAGTACAAAATTACAGAATTTAGATTTTAGCCTCCAGATTCCGGTACTGTCATTATAATTTTTAAAATTTCAGAGGAATCACAGGGGAAAAAAATGTTTTCTACTAAGTTCAATAAAAACTATGCTTCTTAACTTCCATAAAATTCAGATCAAGAGGCACATTTTAAGATTCAGGTTTCATTTCTTAAAGAGTGGTTAGGTAACCTAAGAGAGGAGACAAAACATTCTTAAACTGACTTGAAAAAATCCATCTTAAACAACAACAACAACAAACCACAATGAAACACTGTAATAAGAAGCTGAGTGAAAACAGACAAGGGCATTGCACCAGATCCAAGACAAAGGAAATACAGCTGTCATTCCTACAACTGCCACAGGGTGTCAGGATGCTATCATGCAGGCTTGCTAAATGAGTTAAAAACCCATACCCCACGTGGAAGTGAGATAACCCTTTTTATAATAAGGTTCCAAACCAACTTTGATCAGTAGATTTATCAAATTTTGTACTAGGCACTACCAAGAAGCACACAGAAACTATCATATTAAACTAATTAAATAATTGCTTACCACTTGGTAAATGAATGAGTACATTTTAGGGACCCCCAAATTCTATTCTCAAAACTCTGTCACTCCAAGAGAATAATTAATCAAAAATCCCCTTAATTATACCACTGTGGCTTTATATAATTACCTGAACAGTGAAGCTGGATGAGCAAATTTAAAATTTCTCATGATTACAAACAAAAAAATCTGGTTGATTATAAAACGTATGCCAGCCCGAGTATCTGGGTTCCTGCCACCCACATGCAGACCTTGATGCAGTCCTGGACTTACACAGCTTTGGCCCAGGCCAGCCCTGGACATTGTGCCTATTTGGGGAGGGAATCAGTGAATGGAATGGACTCTCCTTTCTCCCAGTCTGTTCCTCTCTAACTATGCCTTTCAAATAAAGACATCAACCGTAAAATGTGTGTGTGTGTGTGTGTGTGTGTGTGTATGTGGTATGTACAGAAAAAAAATGCTTTAAATAAAACCTTTAAAGGAAATAATATAAGGATAATCTATTCAGTGCCCAGCGCGGTAGCCTAGTGGCTAAAGTCCTAGCCTTAAACGCACTAGGGTACCATATGTTTGCCCATTCTAATCCCGGCAACCCCACTTCCCATTCAGCTCCCTGCTTGTGTCCTGGGAAAGCAGTCCAGGACGGCCCAAAGCCTTGGGACCCTGCACCTGCACAGGGGACCTGGAGGAAGCTCCTGGTTTCAGATCAGTTCCGTTCTGGCTGCTGCAGCCACTTGGGGAGTGAATCAACAAACTAAGTATCTTCCTCTTTGTCTCTGCTCCTCTCTGTATATCTGACTTTCCAATAAAAATTTAAAAATCTTAAAAAAAAGAATAATCTATACAAAAGTATTAATAATGGCATCAGTATTTTTTTAAGTTTTTATTACCTCCATTAGTTTTCCAGGATAAACACAATTATACAAAAAGAGATTTTTAAATGTAATTGAATCACTAAAAATTGATTTGATTGGTTCTAAATATAGGTAGCATTTTTATATTAGTATTCATACCCCGATCATTAGGTGTGTCAGAAATTTTAAGATTTACATTAAATGTGTATTTGTCATGATAACACTTAAGTTCCATTTTCCAAAAATCAACAAATTTCAGAATTAAGAATGCCTTTCCATCTTTTCATTCATTTTATCTGAAACTTTAACAATGGAGACATATTAATGACCTTTATGTAGTCTTTTAACTTATCATTCTCTGCTTCTTTTTTATGAATTTGGAGCTGGAGTCGTTCATGCACGAGTTTTACTGACTGAGACAAGCGGTTTGCTTTCAAAGCATTTGCCTGTGAAAGAAAACACAAAGCAAACAGCTGTCATTTGCTTATCTTACTTCCCCTCAAATCTTTAATTGTGTCTTGATTTAGATAACAGATAAAAAGCTGATGAAACACATACTGTCTGCCCTTTGTAAATGTATTTTATATAAAGCTATCAGGAAGTTCTTTCCTTCCCCCGCTTTTATTTAATGGTACCTGTTTAATTGCCTCTTCTTAAAAATTAGCCCCACTCTGCTTGGCAAACTATAGGTTTGTCTATAGTGCTCCTAGAAATACCAAAATTCCTTCACTTAGCTGCAAATTAAAATAAAATCAAATTTGTACAGCTCTTAATTCGTACTGATTTATGCCAAGTACCTTGACAGAAACACTATACAGCTTCTTTAAAAGTTTAGATTAAGACATTACATACATAATGCGTAAAATGTATGAAATGTTCCACTCATCTAAAATTTTTTTTTTAAAAAAGTCTTGATTTCTGAGAACAGAGTCCACTGTGGGAAGAAGAAAAGAAGAAATCAACTAAAGAAAACATGATGGAATAGGGACAGGCTTTGGCACAGCAGTTTAAACAACCGCTTGGGCCACCCACAGTCCACTTCCCAGGGCCTGGGTGCAGGTCCCGGCTCCCTGCTAACACACCCTGAGAAGCAGCTGTCCCAGGGCCTGGGTGCAGGTCCGGCTCTGTCTCCAGTCCCAGCTCCCTGCTAACACACATCCTGAGGAGCAGCAGGTGACCGCCAAGCACTTCGGCATGCTGCCACCCACAGCATGAGAAATAGGAGTGAGCCCGGTCCTGCTCTGGGTGTTGTGGCCTTTTGGGAAGTAGAGCTCGCTCTTTCTATTTCTCCTCTCTATAAATCTGCCTTTCCAAGGAAAATAAATAAATCTTAAAAAAAAAACTACAGATAGAAGATGCCTTTTTCTCCCTCTCCTCCTCTCCCTTGTCCCTCTCTCCCTTCATAGAAAAGGGTATGATGAGTTAGGTAAAAAATCCAGGCTTTTGCTTACCTTTTCATCCTGAAACAAAGAAGAAAGTTCTTGGATATAGGTCTCCTTTTCCATTATTTTCTTCTGTAGATTCTTCAGCAAATGTAATATAACAGTTAGACATTTCACAGTTTGGACAATAGTAACTAATTTTATGAAGCAGAGCAGCCTACAAATAAACAAGAATCCTCAGAAAGAATGGGTGTAAGGCAAGACTTACAGCTTGTTCATCTTCATCATTGGTTAGATTCTCTGAGAACAAGGAGGAGGAAGAATGTCCTGTCTGGAAAAAGGATGGCATAAATCAGTGTTATTTCTCCACACAGAAAGGCAGAAAGCAGAGAAAGCATCATTCCAGAAAATGATACAGGCCACTAACACACACAGCTCAGATCCCTCCAGGCACTGGCTATCACAAGGATTTTTGCATAGGTGTTTAAGCCCTATCTGCCTACAATTGACGAAATCACTAAATTTGATAAATTAACCTCAGAAGAATACCCTGAAACACAGAGTGACATATGAAAGTCACAAAAATTCAGCACACAAAGCATGACAGGCCAAAACCTTCAACAAAAATTCTAGCACTAAGAAATCTAAGAGACTTGTAGCAAATTAGTGATGGACTTGAGACAGCCATTTTCTGAGTTCACAGAACCCATATTCACTTTTGCAAGGCAGTTTCCTGTTTGTGAATGTGAACAGTCTCAATGTTCTTTATCCGCAAGCTCTTACTCACACCCTGTTATACAGTGTAAAATTGTACCACAGCTTCACAGGCTTTGTGAGCTCTGAAGGCTCCACAGAGTACAGGTTAAGATTCCTTCCTACTAAAACAATATTCCATAAATGACAAAATATTAACGTTATGGTCAAAAATCAAATTACAAAGCAGTCCTTAAGAAGAGAATCACCTGGGCCTGGTGCCGTGGCCTAGTGGCTGAAGTCCTCACCTTGAACACACTGGGATCCCATATGGGCACCAGTTCTAATCCCGGCAGCCCCATCTCCCTGCTTGCGGCCTGGAAAAGCAGTCCAGGACAGCCCAAAGCCTTGGGACCCTGCAGCCATATGGGAGACCCGGAGGAGGCTCCAGGCTCCTGGCTTCTGATCAGATCAGATCGAACAGAAGATCTTCCTCTCTGTCTCTTCTCCTCTTTGTATATCCAACTTGCCTTGGGACCCTGTGCCCATGTGGGAGACCCAGAAGAGATTCTGGGCTCCTGGCTTCAGATCAGTGCAGCACCGGGGGTTGCGGTCACTTGTAGAGTGAATCATTGGACAGAAGATATTGCTCTTGGTATGTATCTGACTTTGCAATAAAAATAAATAAATGTTGAAAAAAAAAGAACCACTCATTTTTCTAAAACAATATACATTCATACACACATACAAAAGACTAAGAAAGACAAGCAAACGTGACCCTGACAGCATTCAGTACATGTCAGCCGTCCTCAGCCTTAAACGCCTAATGCATGAAATGTGTCATGTGAGTTGAGCATCTGAAACCTGAAATGCTTCCAAATCTGAAGCTTTCTGAGCACCAGCAGGATGAAAACAAGTGGAAAATTCCATACCTGACCTTACATGAATCACAGTCAGAGAGTGGATCCAACAAAGATATGTGCATAGCAGGCACACAACTCCCATGTTCCATTAGAGTCCCATTGCCAAGACATTTAATTTTGTATATTTAAATATTCCAAAATCTAAAATGCTTCAGTTCTCCCCAACATTTTGGATAAGGGATACTCAATCTGCACGGGCCTGTCAAGCAACTTCATCCCTAGGTCTATGGTCCAGAGAAGGCAAAGCATGAATTCACGCCACAGCTTCATAAATCAATGTTCACAGCATTAGCAATTGATCTGAAAGTCTACCAACCGTAAACAGATGGTGCAGTGGTACAACCACACAGCGGGCCACATTCAGCAACAACAAGGAGTGAAGTTCTGATGCATGCTACAGCATGGATGAGCCCTTAACAATATGCTAACCTACACAAGGCAGTTCTCCCAGGGTCTCACAGGAAACATCTAGCATAGACAAAGCCACAACACGAGAGTGAACAGCTGCCTAAAGCTCCTGAAGGAGGGGTGGCTGGGACAACAGGCGTACAAGGTCTACTTGGAGTGATGAAAACATCTTAAAAATTGGACTTTGTTCCAAGCTACACAATTCTGTGAACATGTTAAAAAAAAAAAAACCACTGAATTGCATAATTTAAATGGGAGAACTGAATGGTATGGGAACTATATCTCAATGAAGCCACTAAAATACACATGTGGAAACGCAATGCACACAGGAATAAAATCTAAAGAGTATCTATTTTATTATAACAAGCTATATATCCCTATGCTATTATAATTTGGAGAACAACACATAGTGAGCTCTTACAAAAGAAAATATTTTTCTCTAAAAACACTGCTTTCATAGAGAACTATTAATATAACTTAACAGTAGTAGTTCAATGATCCCTTTCAAATGAAAATTCCAAGAAGTTCTGCTTTTCAAATATATCAATATGTTAATTTCTATAGTTTGAAAACTAATACACCCTTTAAGCAAGAAATATCACTGCTAAATGAGTGCTCAGGACAGAAGCCTTACTTGTTCGCAGTCTGTGTCTCTAAGATGGTCTACAACTATGTTCTCATGTTTGAAAGCGTCTAATTCTTTTGTTAATACTTCTTTCTGCTTAGAAATCTTCAAATTGGATGCAGAAAGATCAGCCTGCCAGAAAAACCAAACACATATTTGATCATAGCATGAAATAATACACTCCAAAATACAGTAATAATAATAACTTTTTAGTGACAAAATAATTCATTTACATGCAATAACAAGAAATTCTGCCAAATTTACTAATAGTAAATAGGAACTATTACACAGGATATTCAAATAAAGTTAGATAAAAATAACAACTTAAACACAAAGTATTCGCAATACTGCTTCTAATCAAAGTTACAGGATACTCTCTACTCTTGTTCCTAGCTCAAATTTTAGTCAACCAACATTTTACTCTTTAACTACTGGAGATTTTTAAAATGTGATTTATTTATTTAACTACTCCCATTTATTTGAAAGGCAGGGGGACTTAGAAAGACAGAGATGGAATTAGATCTTCCACCTACTGAATTACTCCCATAATGTTCTCAACAGCACAGCCTGAGCTGAAGCAAGGCACAAGGGACACACAGGTAACGGGGACTCGAGGCTCTGAGCCATCACCTGCTACTGCACAGGGTACATGGCAGCTGGGTCTGAAGGGCTTCAGGACCAGAACCCAGCCATGCCGACACAGGGTGCAGATCGATCTGAAGGGAGTCAGGACCAGAACCCAGGCAGGCAGACCCAGGACGCAGGTCTCACAGCTGGCAAGCTCACTGTCAAAAACCTGAGCTTACAAAACTTACACAATATGAAATAGGTATGTTTTGTTTCTCAGGTTTTTAAATCCACTGCAGAGAAAAAGTGATCCTCTAGTTCAATTCTTAATTAAATCGAACCTCATATCAGGTGTGTACCTGATGTTTTCTTTTAGGAAAACAATTACAGTTAATGATACAGGAATAAAGAACACTGGTGGGCCTGGGGCAGTAGCCTACTGGCTAACATCCTCGCATTGCAAGCACCAGAATCGCAGCCAGCTCCCTGTTTTGTAGCCTGGGAAAGCAGTGGAGGACAGGCCAAACCCTCGGAACCCTGCACCCACGAGGGAGACCTGGAAGAAGCTCCTAGCTCCTGGCTTCAGATAAGCACAGCTCTGGTTGTTGTGGCCACTTAGGGAGTGAACCAACCGTCAGAAGATCTTCCTCTCTGTCCCTCCTCCTCTCTGTGTACCTGACTTTATAATAAAAAATAAATAAATCTTTTTAAAAAATTTAAAATAAAATGAACAGTGGTGAGTCCCTTTTGGGGGGGATCACACATGCACACGGGAGCATACCTGGCCAAGACACAGGACCTCCGTTAATGCACTCCATCTACATTAGCTTTCCATCCCACCAGTCGTTCACAGCTCCAATACTCACATTCTCAGAACTAATCTCTTCGGCGCTGTCTTTCAGTAACAGCACGAGTAACTCTGCAGGAGAGGCCGCCCGCTCGGCTTCTGTAAGTGTTTCTTTCGGGTCATTCTTTTCATTGAAGATGTCCTGCTGTGGGCTAAATGCAAACGCACAAGTACAGTTTAAGTTAAATCTATCACATAAACTAGCCATACTTTGGAGAGAAATATACCACGTCCTGGCTAAATAGTACAGTTCCATAAAATTTCTGCAAAATGCAGTTGTAAACTATCATGGAAAATGTATGTTCTGCCCTCTATATTTGTTTATATTTTCTATACTTTCTATTCACAGAAAAACATACTTTTTATAATGTTAAAAATGCATAAAATACAACATAAGCAATGTTTAAATTATTCTATGTTTGATCATTAGAATCCCTTTCTGGTTTACAAAATAATTTGTGGGGGCCCGGCGTGGTGGCGCAAGTGGTTAAAGGTCCTCGCCTTGCACGCCCGGGATCCCATATGGGCGCCGGTTCTAATCCCGGCAGCCCCGCTTCCCTTCCAGCTCCCTGCCTGTGGCCTGGGAAAGCAGTCGAGGACGGCCCAAAGCTGTGGGAACCTGCACCCGCGTGGGAGACCCGGAAGAGGCTCCTGGCTTCGGATCGGCATAGTATCGGCCCGTTGCGCTCACTTGGGGAGTGAATCATCGGACGGAAGATCTTCCTCTCTGTCTCTCCTCTCTGTATATCCGCCTTTCCAATGAAAAAATAATAAAAATAAATCTTTAAAAAAAAATAATTTGTACACAAAGGGGCTTCAGAAAGACTGGGAAAGAGGGATCACATAATGTGGAGGTGAGCGCTGTGGCAGGCAGCTCCCTGCGTTCCAAAGCCTCAGTGCCAATGATTCAGCTTGATCCAACTGCCTGTTAGTGCACTGACAGACAGCAGATGGCGCCACAGCCCTTGAGTTCCTGTTCCCAGACCCAAGACCAGGATCCTAGCTTTGCTTTACCTGCTCACCTGCCTATTGTAGGTGTTTGCAGAATTAGCCAGTGGATGAAAGCTTGATTTCTCTCTTAGATAAAAATAAACTGTTCTAAAAGGAAAGATGTACACTTTACATGTACTTTTTAAAAACACTAATATTTGCGGTTTTTTAAAAGATTTATTTTTATTGCAAATTCAGATATACAAAGAGGAAGAGAGACAGAGAGGAAGATCTTCCATCTGATGGTTCACTCCCCAAGTGACCACAATGGCTGGTGTTATGCCGATCCGAAGCCAGGAGCCAGGAACTTCCTTCAGGTCTTCCACACGGGTGCAGGGTCCCAGGGCTTTGGGCCGTCCTTGACTGCTTTCCCAGGCCACAAGTAGGGAGCCGGATGGGAACTGGAGCTGCCAGGATTAGAACCGGCGCCCATATGGGATCTTGGCGTGTTCAAGGTGATAACTTTAGCCGCTAGGCCACCATGCTGAAATATTTGTGATCTTTTCCTTCCTTCCCATCTCCCTTACTCTAAATTTAAAAAAGAAGTTTTTCTGGATTCCCAGATCTTTTCTTTAAACTTTTGGCTCTCCCTCCAGCACAATTAATGAACTATACAAAATGAAAAAAAAAAATACTACAGATCCTTGGAAACGGAAAAATCCTTCCCTTTTGACTTTAGAATATCACCATTCGAAATTAAACTGATGGGCCTGGTGTGGTAGCCTATTAGCTAAAATCCTTGTCTTGCATGCACCCAGGATCCCATATGGGTGCCAGTTCTAATCCCAGCAGCCCTGCTTCCCATCCAGCTCTCTGCTTATGGCCTGGGAAAACAGTCGAGGACGGCCCAAAGCCTTTGGACCCTGCACCTGCATGAGAGACCTGGAGGAGGTTCCTGGTTTCACATTGGCTTAGCTCTGGCTGTTGCAGCCACTTGGGGAGTGAATTAACAAACTAAAGATCTTCCTCTTTGTCTTTCCTCCTCTCTGTATATCTGACTTTCCCATAAAGATAAAATAACTCTTAAAAAAAAAGAAATTAAACTGCTGATATCTGCCTTCATGATTATGCCTTACCTAGATGCTGCCATGTATTAATAATGTAGACACATCAGACAGGGCAGATACAAGCCACATTTCCACCTCCTGAAAGTGGGAGAGTTTTCATATAATCCCTGTCAGCCAAAAGGCCATCTCCCTGCCTGTGTTCACACTCCAAACTCACGGAACGGTCATTCCAAGGTTTGAGGGCCCGCAGAAAGAGCTGTGGTACTTTCTTAAGCTTTAGACACAACCCCTGAAGTGGCAGAGAGGAAACTGCTGAAGCAAAAATGCTCAGAACACTTCAGAAGCAAGACCCCAAAGCAGGCGGGCTGTATTTTCTAACTCAGAGCTCAGCATGCAAACATTTTCTTTCATCTAAAGATGCTCCCAGGACAACACTAGAACATCAAGATTTATTAATAAGGACAATTTTGAGTCAAAAAGTTATCTTAAATGAGACTGGGTATAATAAAGACAGACTGTCTTAATGAATATATTTCACTTATACTTTTACATAATTACATGAGTTGTTGATTAGAATCTATGTATAATCAAGTTTGAAAGAGCCTTTTTAATATTTATAAACACAGTTCTAAGTTATGAGGAAACTTTGTGCTTTTATTTTTTTGCTATTTATTTATGTGTTTGAAAGGAAAGCTACAGGGAGAGAGATATTCCACCTACTGGTTCATATGACAGCAGGCCGGGGCCAGGCAGAAACTGGCACTCAGGAGACAATGGTTTATCAAGCTTCTCCACACAGGGATCCCTGGGTCTTAAATTGCCAGCTTTTCTATTTCCTTCACAAAAATGTAATAAAATGGCACATTAGCAGGTGCCAGAGCATTGGTCAGAAAAGAAGTTTAAGTAGATCATGTGCTTGAGTACCACTAGACTCAAAGCATTGGCCTACGGAGGTGCTGGCTGTCAATGACCCTGTCCCTTCTTAAAAATCATAAGCAGAAAGTTGAGAATAAGATGCAACAAAATAATATTATCCATTATAAGTTAAGCCAGAAGCTAGACTATAGTGTTTATAATGGCAGTTTAAGGTCATGGTTGGGGACAGGTGAGACTAGCAACAATAATTCACATAAATAATCAGTGTATTCCTCATTCCAAAGCAGCAAAACGCGGCAAACGTTTGTATGTGCACAGCAACCCAGGAATGCTCCGTAAAACTCGCTGGCAATGTTACTAAAAGGTGATGCACATTTTCCATGAACTTCGTTCTGAAGCTCCATTATTAACCAAATGGTACAATTAACATTCAACTATATTTCCAATACTCCATAACACCTATATTTTCATTTGCCTTAGTTAGAAAGCTTTACAAATTCTTAAAAGGTGAGGTTATTAATGTTTAATTGCTTTCATTAATATCCCAAAAAACTAGCTAGATTTCAAGGAGTAAATCTGTAATAAGATTAAATACATTGGGTCCTGCGGCGTGGCCTTGAAGCTAAAGTCCTTGCCTCACATGCACCCAGGATCCCATATGGGCGTCAGTTCTACTCCCAGCGGCCACCCTTCCCATCCAGCTCCCTGTTTGTGGCCCGGGAAAGCAGTCCAGGATGACCCAAAGCTTTGGGACCCTGTACCTGCATGGGAGATCCGGAGGAACCTCCTAGCCTCTGGCTTTGGATCAGCTCAGCTCCAGCCATTGCGGCCACTAAGGAAATGAACCAGCGGATGGAACAGTTCCTCTCTGACTCTCCTCCTCTGTGCATATCTGACTTTTCAATAAAAAAAAAATCATTAAAAAAAAAGATTAAATACATTTAGTGAATGAGTTCTAGATTTGAAGAATATTTTCTTGCCAAAACAATGCATTTGGTTCCAATAATTTACATTATGGACAAAATAAAAAAACCCTGAAATCAGAGAATTCCATTTCCCCTAATGCTGTGTACGTACCAGATGTGATGACCGTTATTGGCAGCTCCTGGCAAAGATTCTCTCTCGCACCTGCTCTGAAGATGACAAGACAGCTCTCCTGGACGACCTGCATCACTGGCGGACTTCTCCATCAGGTCGGTGAGCGGACCCACTGGTGGCCTCTGGGGCTTCACCTAAGCTGAAACCTGGGAACAGGTTAGTTGCTAAGACATCATTTGAGTAAGGATTTTTTTTTCTTTTCTGTGATTACTACATAACAAAAGATAAAGATCATGGCAATAAAAGAATAATACTTCAAAGATAAAATCAAAATTATAACATTAATTTGTTACAATAGATAAAATTGTGTCAAAATTACACATTCAATAATTGCCAGTTGACGTACACTTTCCCCTGAGGCCAGCTATTTCCCACATAATCACAGAAGTGTAGAAATATTTCCTAGCTTATTTCTTTAAAAAAAATTATTTTTATTGGAAAGTCAGATTTATACAAAGAAGGAGAGAAAGATCTTCTGTCCACTAATTCAGTCTCTAAGTGGCTGCAACAACCAGGAACTGGGTCAATCCAAAGCCAGGAGCTCCCACACAGGATTTCCAAGACTTAGGGCTATCCTCTCCTGCTTTCCCAGGCCATAAACAGGGAACTGGATGGGAAATGGAACAGCTGGGATACAAACCAGCTCCCATATGGGATCCCAGCACGTGCAAGGAAAGGACTTTAGCCACTAGGCTACCACACCAGGACTCTAGTTTATTTCTTCAAGTACTGCAATACTGCAATTCAGTGAGCCTAGAGAAATAATATCAACACCATGGAGGGAAAGCAGGTCTACAATGCTCAGCTTCATTGCGTCCGTCCAATAAGATATATCAGTTACCTACACCTGGAACTGCAGAAATTCAACATAGTTTTCAAAGTGCTTGTAACAAAAATTACAAAGAAAACAGGATATTCGGGTTTTTTCTTTTTTGGATGATCTTCATTTATTTGATTAGGGGGCAATGGGTCAAGTGCTCCAGGAAAGGGGGTAAGACCATTGTTTCCACTTTCTTTTTCCTTCTTGTACCTGGGGTAAGGGAGTAGGTAGATGGAGAAGCCACGCCCAGCCTCCCAAGCATCCCAGGTCCCCGATGTGGGACACGCTCCGAGGGCACTGCTCAACTGGTTTTGATAGTCCAACAGTTCTGAATTACTGCCAATCTCACCACTCCAAGCACGATGAAATCTCCAGAATTCACTGACAGACACGGTTTACCTGAGAGGCTCAGTTTGCCTAGATATTCACTGCTAACACTTGGCTGGGATAGTTGGTCGACTTGTTCTGTCCTCCATTCTCTGTTATGGTACCAGGTGTCCTCTGCAGGTTCTAATGTACCATCGTATCCTCCTATGCAACTGGCTTTGCTGTCTACTGTTTTGTCTAAGCCACTTAAGGAGACCTAGCTCTGACAAAAGCACTCCACAGTTGGACCATGTACCCGGCAATTTTCTCCCTGGTTGGAGTTCTGAGTCCAGCGGTTCAGTTGGGAGATCCCCGAAGAAACCTCATCTGAGGTGATCCCAGACCTGATTCTTGTGTGTGCTTGCCAATACAGGGTCCAGCATAGTCTGTCACTCCAATCAACTTCTATGCACACTGGTGGTTGTGATTGCTGAGTCGGTTCTGTCTCCAGGTCAGTTTTGTCCTCTATCCAAACAAATGGGTATTGTAACCCAGCCCAGTCCCACCCAACACACACTTGTCCACATAAAACAGTGGGAGCTGCAGCCTAGTTGGGGTGACCCGCAATAACTCCCACCAGGCCTGTCCCTGTCCTGGTTCCCACGCTTGCCAATACGTACAAGGGACTGCTCCAGTATGTCCCATATCCCATTCAGCTCTTACGCATGTCAATGGGCACTGAAGCTTAGTTCAACCCAACCAGCATCACTAGTTAGCCCACACATACACTGAAAACAGACCTCATCCTAGGATATTCTTGGGGTAATAATGAAAATAGAGGACATTATTTACAAATTTTACTAAATACTCTAATTCTTCTCAGTCACATTTGGACATGTTGTTTTGGAAATGTGAACACTGACAAATCCCTTCAAAAGTCACTCCATTTTAAATAATGAGTTAAGGGGTTAGCAGCCACTAAGGCTGTATTTTTACAAATTTAACACAGTAACGTATCTTCCTTTTTATGTTTATACAAATTAATGATGAACAATCATTTCAGATTTTTCAGATATTTACCTCTTTGTGATTTATTTAATTTTTATTTAAATATTACATTTATTACATCTCTTTGTGTCTTATATTTCTAATAGTGCAATACATATTTTGCTCATGAATACTGAATACCTTGGGTATGAAACAACGAAAATTATTTACAATCATGAATTCACAACTGAAAAACTTTTCAACAAGGCTATTAAATTGTATTTGTTTGTCTGAAAGTGATAAACATTGCAGAGCATGTATTCAGGATTCATGCCAATGAACTGTAGGCTCACTTTTTTTTAACATCTGTCCCTGAGATCCCAAGGAATTGCTAAATAACCCACAGAACGTCCAAGACGATCCATTTCAATGCTGTAACCCTGGGATGTCTATTACTTGGGCATAACGACAATTTGAAATATCTACAGAAGAATTTTTTTAAAATACAGATGTACAAAATTAAATGAAAAATCAAAGCTAGGGATTAGAAGAATGCATTAAAAAAAAAAAAGGTATACTGCTTTATTTAGCAGAGTTATAAAAGACAGCAAGAGAGAGCAAAAGAGACTGGTGCTCTCCCCTATGGAGTTCCAGGCCCCAGCTCTCAGCCCGCCCCAGCCCGGGCCACTGCAGCCATCTGGGACATGCACCAGTCGACTGAAGATCTCATCCCTGTCTTTATCTCACTCTCTGTCCCTTGCTCTCTCTGTAACTCTGCCCTTCAAATAAGTAAAACAAACTTAGGAAAGAAATGTGTTGAGGATTCATCGTGGAAAATTTGAAGCAGCTTCTTGGTTTTGTGGGCCAATGACAGCAGACATAATCTGTCTGAAGTTTAAGATAAATTAATAAAACAGAATTTTTCCATCTTATCATCTATAACTATACCTTATCATAAAGGATAAATAAAATAATTTCTGATTAGGTTAACTTTGTTCAATGACTCATTTGTACTTTAAAAATGGACTGAAGATTGGGTAAAATAGAAACTGGACTTCAAAAGTCTCCAATCTGTAAATGTGGGCTATGTACTCAAAGGCTCAAGCTCTGCTCCTCACCAAAGCCCTGCCCTGAACCCCAGCCCAGCAATAACTGTAAACCAAGATATTTTCAAAATCATAGTTTGGAACTTAACTGCTCCATAAACACTCATGATTTTTACATGTGCTACTACCTGTGTAAGAGCAGATATGAACCCCTCACTCTCTACCTCAAAAAAGACCTAACAGAGGGATGTACAGGTTAGGGTCTCAAATATAAAGTGGGGTGACCAAATCATTCAAATCAAATGTGGGCCACATCTGAGATGAAAGGGCACTCCTGGGGAGCCAAATTAATTATCCAGGAGGAATCTGAACCAAACACGGGCCAGAGGACCCGTTTTCTTCATCAGATAGAAGCATCTTCCCTTTGGCAGGATGCCAACCACTACATTTACTGAACAGGGCACTGCCTGACTTTGCTAACCTCACTGAGACATGGCTGAGGAGCTGACCTGGAATGCCTGCCTGCCTTTGAGAATACCTGGGATCAAATGCCCAAGTTGGAATCCTGACTCTGCTTCTAATTCCAGCTTCCTGGGAGGCAGCAGGTTCAAGCACGTGGGTCCCTGCCACCAGGGAGCTCCAGGCTCCTGGCTTCAGCCTGAGCCAGTCCTGGCTGTGTAGGCACCTGGGTGTAAACCAGTGGATGCAAGAGCTGTTACTGTCTCTGTCCATATCTTTCAAGCAAATGACAACGTGGTGAGCTGAGGCTGTGCTGGCTGAGGGGCTGACTGTCCTGCCAGTTCAAGAGCTTGCGTTTTCCTTCCTGAAGGTTAAGGTTCATTAGACAATCTGAAGTGGGGACTGACAGGTCAGCAGTACAGTTTTATAAGACCCAGGTGGTTGTGGTTTGGAAAACAAACCAGGCAGATGGACGGCAACAGAGTGGAAGCAGTGACGCTGCTTGGTTGGGTCCTAGAGAGAGAAAATTTCAACGTTCTTTTCCTATTTAAAAATGTTGAAGAAGCAACTAAAAATAATTCCTACTAATTATAAAACATGAAAAACAACAAGGGAATAACAATTCAATACTAAAATCGCAAGCCAGTACAAGCGGTGGTGGTCACAGAGCAATAACATTCCTCATGACGTGTGAAGACCTAAGGAGATCGCTCCACTAAAGGAAGTCAGTTTATGAATGAGCATTAGTTTATCCCTTCAAGTATCAAAATTAACTTAAGCCCCTTCAAGGAAAATCTTTGTAATAGAATCTCCTTCCTCCCTCCCTTTCCTGAACAGGGCCTACAGGTAAAGTGAAACACAATTTAACCACTCCCTGATTATTCAAAGGCAGCGTATTAAAACGAAAGGCTCTTAGGCTAGAATCACCTATTGGTAGTTCTTAATCCTTGTTAGCTGACAGAAAGAGAGAAAGAGAGAAAGAGACAGAGACAGAGAGAGGTTGGTTTCTCTTCAAGATAACAATAACCTTTGCCAGCTAATCAAACAAAACAGAAGCAGTACACGTCATGTTTGCTCTGAGTTTTAATATGAAGTCTCTCTGGGTCAGCAGCTGGGAACTTCTTTCTCACTAGAGCTTTAAAATTATTTTATCTTAAAAAAAAAAACTTATTCTGAATCAGTCACAATTCCTAAAATTACCTGAGTAGTCTGTGTGATGTCACCTCTACTAAATAATTATTGTATTTGTTGCAGAATTATTACAAATCCTCATCAGGGGCCCAGCGCAGTGGCGCAGTGGTTAAGGTCCTCGCCTTGCATGCCCTGGATCCCATATGGGCGCCGGTTCCGCTTCCCATCCAGCTCCCTGTCTGTGGCCCGAGAAAGCAGTGGAGGACGGCCCAAAGCTTTGGGACCCTGCACCCGAGTGGGAGACCCGGAAGAGGCTCCTGGCTTGGGATCAGCATAGCATTGGCTGTTATGCTCTCTTGGGGAGTGAATCATCGGACAGAAGATCTTCCTCTCTGTCTCTCCTCTCTAGTATATCCGCCTTTCCAATAAAAAATAAAAATAAATCTTAAAAAAAAAAATCCTCATCAGTGTAGTTGCAGGCTGTCAAAGAACCAGAGCCCAGGAAAAAAGAACCTTCTCAGTGGACAGATGCTAGTTCAACTTTCCTGCTATCTTCAACTCCATGACGCTTGCTCACTACACACCAAGCACAGTTAACAGCCATTTTCTTGTAGTATTTGAGTTGTGTGACGATCAAAGTATGAACACACCAACTGCGGTGCTCAAAAGCACTCCATAAACTTCATCCGAACCTTATTCTGCGTCAAATGGGGAAATTCTGAAACCCTTTCGTAGCCCACAATGTGGTGGCTATAAATCTTACGAACGCCTCCTGCTAACTGCCCCTATTTTAAGGCTACCTATGTGATACGGCATCTCCTTAATTTCTCATTGCAGGTGATTATTATTGTCCCATTTTACAACTGTGGAAACTAAGGACAGCCAGCAGAGCCCTATGAGTGGCAGAGCTGGGACTGAGTGCAGGTGGGCCTGGACGCTTCCTGGTTTGGGTCTCTAACCGGGGCTGGAACCTACAGAGAACATGGAGAGGAAGGCCCCGGGCCTCTCAGGAGCACACGCGAGCAGAAGCAGCACCAGACCGCCTCGGGGACCGTGCCGCCTGTCCGGGGACTGCAGGGCTCCGTGCTGGACAGGCCGGTCTCGCGAACACCCGCCCTCCCCGAGCCCGCATCCCTCCTCGCGGCCTTCCCACAACCCTCGGTTTCTGGGAACCGCAGGATGTGAAGCAGCCCAACGGCCTTTCTCCCCACGGGCCCTGACTGCCGGAACCGCCCCAGGACACCCCACTTCCCACACCCCAAAACGCCCCAGCCCCAAAGCCACGCCCAGGCCTCTGCCGCTGCGTCAGCACGTCGCCGGGACGTCGGCCCTCCGCGGCTGCGCTGTAAAGGCACGTCAGGCTTCAGCAGCGGGAGCGAGAGCGCCCTGTCCTACCTGTGCTCTCCGGCCGCCGGTCAGTCGGCAAGCAGCAGGACAGGAGGGGAGCGCCGTGGCTGGAAGACGGGGGAGGAAGGCCAGGGATGCGAGGCAGCCGCCAGGCGACGATTCTGGAAGGGCCGGTGGTGGGAGGGGTGCCCGCTCAGGGCGGAGAGACCGGAGCTGGTAACCGGCGGGTGGCTTCTGTGGCAACGGCCGCCCCGCCCTTCCGTGGGCGCCCAGGCGCTGCCCATTGGCTGCACTTGGACCGCCGAGCATCGCCGCTGCCTCGGTGGGCCGGGTGAGGGCGGAGCCAGACTCGGCTTCTCGTGGTGCTGACCCGGGAGGCCACTTTCGGTTGAAGGGAAAGGGCTGCCCTTGTGTGTGGTTCCCAGAGATGTTAACCAAAGGGGAAATAAAGCAAATTCCGAATTTGGTGACAGTTGGCAAAGAATCCTGCGTTTGCATTAGTTTGTTTTGTTTGTTTGTTTGTTTTTTTAATTTTGCACGATTCCATAGTCAAGGGATTTCCCTACTGTTTTCCCTCATAACTATAATATAGTCCTTAAGCAGCAGTTACAAATCCATCATCCTGCTGTTAAGTGTGTCACAACTATGTATAGACAATGGTAGGGACTCCAGCATCCTATTGTCTTGTTACGGAGAGCAGCCAGTGATTGCTCCTTCACCTCTCTTTGTATACTCTTCCTCCCCCCCCCCCATCCTAATTTGACTGGGATGTTGGATGCAGATGAGTCCAATTAGTCTTTTTAGCTACAAGCCCAGTTCCTGTTCCTTCCCATTCCAATGAGCGCTAATCGACTCCTTAGCCCACAACACTTAGGTATTCGCCCACCTATGACTCATCTATCAACTGAGAGGGGATGGTATTGCATTGTTGTGTAACCACTCCCCGCACAAGCCCCTCTGAAGGCCCATGAAATGGGGCTCAATCCCCTGAGCATGGTCCCTGTATACTGCTTTGACTGGACTTGTGATCTATTATTTTAGTATGTTCTGTTGTTATCACCAAGCTTGGTTAATAAAGACTCCTTGATAAAACCTTAGACATGTCTGGTTGATCTTGCTCCCACCCCATAACAGTCCAAATATATTCAACAGTTTTATGGGGAGTCCTGCTTTTACTCCGGAGTGGAGATGCATATGGTAACGTATCTTCACTTTTCAATAGACAGTTCCTCTAGCATGTCTGCTTTCTAAAGGGAAATTTTGAAAATGAGAAGGCAACTGTAGCCAGAGGAAGCTCCTCCCTAAGCTTAAGATTTTGGCTGACATCCTTCACTGGCCTCCGGTATTTTTCCTCTGGAGAAAGCTAGACCATGCCCCACAGGGGGGTATACAAGGTCTCAGGTTCTTGATTTTTGCGTTGCAACCAGCTGGGATGCTCTAAACATTCCTGAACAAGCAATGCAAGATTTTCTTTAGAAAAATAAAAACATATGCCAAGTCTCTAATGTTATGTTACCAGACGTACACCAACGTATTAGCTTCACAACTAATGCAACTGCTGATCAAACACTTTAATCATGTGGGCTTTTACATAATTATAGTTTAAGATTGTCTCCCATTGATGATTACAGCAGTGCTTTTTATTCCCCCAGCAGGGTGGTATCCGGCAGAAAGCTCTTGAGATACAAGTTCATTCATCATAAACACATTAGCTATCCTATGGATGCAAGGGCTGGAAAGCTCTGGAGATTGAGGTGAAAGGTTGTAACCCCTGGCAAGTCAGCCAGCCTCCCTGTACAGAGAAGGGGACTCAGGACAAGGTCAGAGCAAGAAATGTGAACGATCCTTGGCACTTTTCCAGGCTTTCTAGCTGGCCTGGCAAACATCCAACACACAGGGAAATAACAAACAGATGTTAGGAGCCTCCAATACAAAATGCTTAACTGAATTGCTCTGATATTGGTTATAATCACCTTTATACCACGTTCAAGAGGAGACAGCCTTTAAAATGTAAACTTAAGCTGTTTAAAAATGATTACGTAAGCTTCTCTGAGTATTTCAACTGAATTGTTCAAGTAAAGTAAACATGGCTTTGCTCCACATCTAAATGTAATGTGATCCTACAATCTGGTTGCATAGTGAATTTTTGAATACGAGGGTCTTTATAATTTAAATGGGAAAAATATTTTAGCTCATCCCAAAACCCTACACAATTTTTACAAATGTCTGGACCACCTAGGAAACAATCAAAATTTCCACAGGATTTAAAGAAAGGCCAAATAGTAAGTAATATTTTAGGTATTGTAGTTTTCTGTCATGCTATTTGACTACCATTGTTGCTCAAAAGAAACCACAGAACACTGTAGGTGCAGAGGTTGACTGTGTGCCAGGAAAACTTTGCTTTTGGAAAGAGAGGTAGCAGGCTAGGTTTGACCGCTAAGAAAGCAATTAATGCAGTATATATCTAAGCAATACCGAATCAGTAGCTGTGTGTTTATGTATGGAATGCAAAGCTGCAATGGTGGGTGGAAGTTGTGATATTCTTCCTCATAACCACAAATACATAGAAACAGCAAACAGATGTTTGATTAATACAAATATTTCAGCAAAATAAAAAAAATAGTTTGGTTGTGTCATAAACTACAGCATATACACAATGCAATACTCAGACAGAATAAAACACAGACGAAGCCTTGTCATTCTCCGCAACATGGATGAAACAGAAAGTCACTATGTTAGATGAAGTAAGCCAAACGTGAGAAGATACACATGTATAGTTTCACTCATATGAAGTGTTTAAAAAAAGTGGATCTCAGAGAATTAAAAACATAATGGAGATTACTCAGGGATGGAAGCAGGAGGAGCCAGGAGAAGCGAATCAGTGGATAGCTAGATAGCAGTAAGAAATTCTGGGGTTCCTAGGGTCAGAACTGTGACATACGAGGCTAATAGTCTGCCTGCAAGACACCGTCATCCCATATGGGTGCTGGTTGTGTCCTGGCTGCTCCACTTTTGATCCAGCTGTCTGTTTAAGGCCTGAAGAAGAAGTAGAAGATGGCTCAGGTCCTTGGCCCTTCCACCTGCATGGGAGGGCTGCCTTCAGGTCTCCTGGCTTCAGATCACCTCAGCTGCAGTTACTGCAACCATCTGGAGAATGAGCCCACAGAGCAAAGACCTCAGGGTTCTACTCCACAGTAGAGTGACTATAATTATATATTACTGCATAAAAAAGAAAAAGTCAAGAAGGAAGGATTTTGAATATCATGCTATTAAGACATATTATATGTGTGAAGAGGTAAATATATTTATCCTGATTGCACTTTTTGCAGCTTGCTCTCACTCTCTCGGTGTGTGTGTGCCTGTATGTTTATTGACACTGAACCCACGTCAAAAATAAAATTTAGAGCCCAGTGTGATGGCTCAGTAGGTAAATCCTTACCTTGCATGCACCAGGATCCCACATGGGTGTCAATTCTAATCCAAGGTGCCCCTCTGTGGGGCTCAGGGGCAAAGAGGTCACCAAGTCAATAAGATGGTGACTAACAGTCCAGGTCACTGATGGGCAAGATGGCAGCCAAGGACAGAGCCCTGGATGTGAAGCAGGGCAGGAGTCACGTAGCTCCAAGGAAATACTGATTGACCAGGGCCATCTCGCTCTCCTACCCCTGGCCTATGGGAGGTGGCTTTCGCAGTCATTCTTCGAGTAATTGGCTCCTAGTTTCTCCCCTCCTGGAATTCCCGAAATTCTTGGCCTGAGGCTATCCCTTACCCTATATAAGAAATTGAACTTCCCCAATAACTAGGAACTGCTTAGACAGAACCCCTGTCCGACTGTTTGTCTCTCATCCCCTCTGGCAACAGGATACTAAAGGAATCTGTGGGGAGACCCTGCACTCCACTTCCCATGCAATTCCCTGCTTGCAGCCTGAGAAAGCAGTAGAGGATGGTCCAAAGCCGTAGGACCCTGCACCCACATGACCACCTACCTAAGGTAGTAGATGCCTGAGGCAGATGGTGAAAGCCCAACGATGTTCCTGGCTGAATGCAGTACTGTGAGTGACTTTAGCCAACACCTTGATCCAAGGAAATACAGGGTGAGATAACTTTGAGTGGATAACCCAGTGTACTACAGACCAAACAATATTCACAGTGGAAGCAGTGAATTGAAGGATTTGCCCTCCACTCTGAATTGCATGTGCTGTTTCCAGTGGGGTTTTTTTTTTTCCCCCCATTGCTGTTAAATTGAGTAATTTAAAACAACAACCATTTTCTTTGTTCATGATTCTCTGGTTCAGAAATTCAGGATGGATGTTTTTTTCCTTCAACATGGTATAACTGAGGTCTTACCAAGCTGCATCTAGATGACCACTGAAGGTAGTATCTAAGATGTTCCAGCTCCCTGGTGACATTGATGGATTCTGTCAAGCATGCAGGACCCTCCTTACTTTATCATGGGGCTAGCTTAAACTTGTTTTAATAACTGATGTATCCCAAGAATCAATGCATTGTATAAGCCATATTGTGCAGCTGGTTGGAGTTAATGCCTATGCTTTGAAGGCAGCAGGAAAATGTAGCAAAATCCTGAAGTTTCAGAGATATACCTAGGTCAGAATCAAGGCAAGAAGGAAATATAAGAGGACACTAGAGGAAATGCAGCCCTGACTTTGGGCTTCTACTTCGATGAGCTGTTCTCTGCATTTCTACAATCCTCCTCCGCACCCTCTGCTTATTTCTGCATTCTCTTTTTTCCTTCTCTGAAAAATACTGATAATAGTAGTGGCAATACTTATACCACATGTTGCTAAATCCGCACATAATAAATATAGCAATATTTTATGAAAGGCAATTTTATGCCTATTTTGCAAAGAAGAGAAATCCCACACCCTGTCTCTCATTTTCTTATTGAGTTATTCAAAGTAATTCTAGTTTATTCATTTTGGTGAATATTAGAGGGAAGGCATGTGTTTGTGTGCATATGTGTGAAATAATCTGCCTAGCTGCTGTTGCACTGAATTAGATAAAGGATGTGAGGAGAAAGAATCCCATTAAATTTGAGATCAACCTCCTGTTTCAGAGGTGGCGAAAGCAAACCTCACGAGTTTCAGCGATGTGAAAAGATCCCGCAGCAAATGTGTGCAGCCAGGCTCTCCAGCAGTTTATGCTGCATGATATACTCATAAGCCTGGAATGCGTTTTGCAGAACTCATAAGCTCAATCTTTGCCTTATATGGCAGACAGATATGATGGGGGAATGGCAGTTTGGTGTAGTGGGTAAAGCTACCACCAGCAATGCTAGCAACCAATAAAGGGCACCAGTTGAAGTCCCAGCTGCTTCACTTCAGATCCAGCTCCTTGCAGATGTGCCTGAGAAAGCAATGGAAGTCAGCCTAATTGTTTGGGCCCCAGATACCCAAATGAGAGAGACCCAGAAGAAACTCCAGGTTCTTGGCTTCAGACTGGCCCAGCTCTGCTATTGGAGCCGTTTGGAGAGTGAACCAGTGAATGGAAGATTCATTCTGCCCTCTCCTTATTAATTCTTCCTTTTAAATAAGTTAATTAATTAAAAAAAAATAACCACCCCTACGCTTTAAAATAATTTTCACAAGAGAATCCATAAATTCCTGTGACTCAAGAGGCAAGATGTATAAAAGGGCTTCGAGACTTGTGAAGCATAAGATAAAATCTCAGAGATGGTGTCCAGCGGGATTGTTCAGTGATTAAACCCTCCCCTTGCATGCACCGGGATCCCATACCGGTGCTGGTTTGTGTTCCAGCTGCTCCACTTCCCATCCAGCTCCCTGCTGTGTCCTAGAAAAGCAGTAGAGAGTGATCCAAAGCCTTGTGACTCAGAATGCATGTGGGAGACCTAGAAGAAGCTTCTGGCTCCTGGCTTTGGATCAGCTCAGCTCCAGCTATTGTACCCACTTGGGGAGTGAACCAGTGGATGGAAGACTTTTCTCTCTGTGTGTCCACTCTGTAACTCTGCTTTTCCAATAAAAATAAGTAAATCTTGAGAAAAATCTCAGAGATTGCTTCTAATACTGTCTGGGGTCCAAAAGCCTTTATCAGTAGGGAGATTTTCATAGTATCCAAATGCAGTGCCTCCTTCTACCATGTAACATTGACCCTTCTCATTCAATAGTGTGATTTTTTTACCTGTAGACTCCCAAGCACTCACCACATCTTGTGCTTGAATTCTGGAGTTTAGCCGCCTGCTGGTGACTCAACAAACAGCAATGTTTTCCAGTTTCTATCTGTACCCTCCCTTTCTCTACTTCGCTTTGGAAATGAGTATACATTAGAAGTAAATGGCATGGAGACATGAAATGTGCCATGTGGGTCCTGGGCAAATTTAAGTTCTGTTTAAAGTCTAACTCTCTCATTCTATTTTGACATATCACAAACATTACATAAATTGAAGTTCTATAAATCAACTACAGGGAAATCTTCAGTTTCTTCTACTAAATAAGATGGTTACAGCAATAGCCTGAGAGAAAAATAATCCAAATGTTCATGGACTCTTCAGTATGTCAAATCTCTTCATTTCTCTGACGCCACTGGGAGACTTAGCCACTCTTGGGAGGTTTCTTGGAGATTTCATGGAAAGACATGGATGCTTCTGGAGTAGGCTAAACCACAAATTCAAGCAAGGAGCAAAGCTGGACTTGAGACTCTTCAGTTACTGAGACTGAATGACTCTCACTTTCCTGAGAACAAATGAAAGAAGAGTAGATTGCTAGTTTGTGGTATATCAAAATAAACACCTAAAATTGCATGCAGAGCCACAATGTTTTGTGGCATGGTCTTTAAGCCACTGCATATGACACTGGCATCCCATACTGGAGTGCTAATTATGCCCCAGCTGCATACTTCTGATTCAGTTCCCTGCTTATGCATTTGGTAAGGAAGCAGATGATAGTCCCAGCACATGAGAGACCCAGATGGAGTTCTTTGCTCCTGACTCCAGCTGCTTCTAACCTGTCTCTTCCTTTCTCTCTGTCTGTTCCTCTCTTTCTGCAACTCTGAATTTCAAATAAACAAGTAAATCTTTATTTTTAAAAAAAGCAGAGCAGAAAAAAAGTCATTTGGGACTGTCAGCTCAGGCTAAGCAAATTCAAGTGTGTTTGTTCAGGTTTTAATGCAGATGATATTAGACAAGATGGTTCATTCGTGGTTGTTCTTTACAAGTCACCTATCTGCACTTTCTGACCAATGCTGTCCACCTCCAAACCCTGAACAGGAGCCATTGCAACTGTTGACAAAAACAGAGAACAGCGCTTAGTCAGTCCTCAATTGCCATGACCAGTCAACAATTTATACGAGCACACGTGGTGACAAGAAACTCTTCTTCGCAAAGCTATTTATATAGTGTGCTTGTGATCTTACTTTTCTTTTTTTATTAATTATGTTGCATTATGCGACAAAGTTTCATAGGCTCTGGGATTCCCCTCCCCCCATGGTGGATTCCTCCACCTTGTTGCAGTATTACAGTTCAAATTAAGTCAAGATTCTTTCTTTGCAAACATATACCAAGCATAGAGTCCAGCATCTTATTGTCCAGATAAATTTAACAGTTTCTTGGGGAGACCATCTCTGGTCTGAAAGTAGAACTGGCAGAATATCATCCCAATCACTTATTACTTTGCTGATGGGAATGGAAGTTTTTCTTAAAAACAAGAGATCGTTATAAGGACACCAAGTTCCAAGAGAAATGGGAAAGAAGTGCAATGTTTTGCTCAGTGAGTCAGTTATAGGAAGAGCCTTTGACATTGCCACACCTCTGACCTTCCACTTTGCAGATGCCATATGAACCAGTGGAAAAAAACCCAGGTCTGGGAATCAGCGTCAGAGTACATGGCAGCTAAACCGATTTCCAGGTTGCAGGGTGAGCCACTTTGACAGCCATGTGGTAACCAAGAGCTTCCCATCCTCCAACACACCCAGGGTGAATACTAATTACTCAGGCAAGGTCTGTCAAGAGGGAACACCTTCAGAGATGAGCCCGCAGCAGGAAATAATGTGTGGGGCTACATGTCTCAACTTAACCCAGTGATTCAAATGTCTGCCTTAGTCTAAGAAAGGTCTTCATATCTGTGACTATACATGGAGCTCCTAATCACTAAGGCAGAAGAGAAAGAGAGGTCCTAGAATAAAATGGTGATTGAGACAGAACATGATACAGGGACAAACTATGGGACTGGTGTCAGAGAGAGGGAGAGACACAGGCAGAAATATTCCATCTGCTGGTCCCCTTCCTATATGATGGAATGGCCAGAGCTGTGCTGATGCTAAGCCGGGAACCAGGAGCTTCCTCCAGGCCTCCCATGTGTGGCCCCAAACACTTGGGTCATTCTCTGCTGCTTTTCCAGTTGCATGAGCTGTGAGTTAGATTGGAAGTGGAGCAGACAGGACTTGAACTGATATCCATATGGGATGTCAATATAACAGGCAATGACTTTATTACTACACTAAGAACCAATCCAATGATAATCGTCTTAACCTTGAATACATTTAGATCTTCTTCTTTTAATTCTGTTAATTTTTTTTATTAGAGAGAGAGAGTGATCTCTTCCATCCACTGATTCATTCCCCAAATGTCCTTTAAAAAGTCTGGACCAGACTGAAACCAGGAGCCTTGAACCCAATCAAGGTCTCCAAGTGGACAAAAGTAACTTAAGTATTTGATCTATTCCCTGATGATTCCCAGGGTGCAATTAGTGGGAATCTGAAATCAAAATCAGAGCCAAGATTTGAAATTATGCACTCTGATATTATAATAATCTCTATGATCATTATCATTGTGTTATAATCCAGTCTAAATTACTTAGGAAACCTGATATACACAAGATGCTAAAATGAACGCTGGAGAGATGGAAGACTGGCAGAGACTTGCTGAAAAATAAATCTATTTTTTCTTCTGGTGTACAAAGGGTAATAAAGGCCTCTGTGTCTTACATGGTCATCCATGCATGTGACACTTGGCCATCCCTGGGGGACACCTGACACCTGCACCCTGGCCTACACAGGAGCGATTGCCCACATTGCCTCACCCCGGTACCCCAGGGACAGGCCTGCAGGGCGGATTTCCAAGCCTTCAGAACAAAGGACTCTCACAAGCAACAAAACCTGACCTGAGTGCAGTGGGGAAGCCATGGGAGGCCTGATGGGGGAGGTTATCAAGCACAAGAGGAAAACTACAGTGCATCTCTGCTTTTCTACCACCAGGAGGAACCAGCAATCTAGGGATACCGACTGCCAGCCCAGTCAGCCAGGCCTGCTGCTTTTAAGCTCCTTTTGTCTTCTTGTCCTCTTCCCTCTGAGGAGACTGAAAAAGTGAATATGTAGCAGAAGATTTCTTGCTCAAGTATGATTCAGGAGAAAGCTCAGCCACAGAACAGGCCAGAGTGGCATTGCCTTAGAGAAGAAAGACGTGTCGAGGCAAGACTGCAGTTGATCCACCCCAGATTTTCAGAGAAAGCACCTCCTTAGAGTCAGACACTCTAAGAGCTCCGAAGCTCAGGAGGCAGCCATCAGCTTTGACACTGATCCCCAGCTACCATGTGCTCAGCAGACCCTTTGTAAGTTAACCAGAAGCTTCTCTACAACATGACCCACAGGGGCAATGCAGGTCCTCTCTGCAGCTGGAAGGTGGTGACCATCCTGGTTGCCCTAAGCGCAGAACTCCGATTTCTGGAAGCTGGAATACAACTTCGAGACAATGGCTATGACGGAGTGCTTGTGGCAATAAATCCTCAGGTACCTGAGAGTCAGATCCTCATCTCAAACATTCAGGTGAGTGGCAGTTTAGAAATCAACACCATTATCCCATTGAATCAGATTGGTAGTTTTCTTTATAAAGCTAACAACCATGCCTGGTTTCTATGTGAGTAGTTTGAGTACAGCAGCACTTGAAGTGGGCACCCAGAATTAGAGCATGACCAAGATCACTAAGGGTTGATTTAGCCTAGCCTCTTTTTGTTGTCATTGGTCACTACTAAGTTTAGTCTTCTTGTTTTCCTGCCTTAACTGTGTTTGGAGTAGCAAGGAAGAAAAGTAACAACCCATTGCAGAAGCAATGACTAATTTTTTGATGAGTAAGCAAGCTAGTGCTTATTAAAATCTTCTTAATGAATTCCATCCTGAGAGTGAGAATTATCAGCTAGAGAAGGTGAGAAGTCATGCAGAGTGCCAAAGAGTAAAAACCTTTCTGCTCACCCAGCTATTCTTATTTATTTATTTTTTAATTTGCTTTGTTATGGCAAGGGAGGATCATACTCAGCAACTTCTTTTGATATTGCTTGAATGAAATCAGGTCATAAGGGTGTGGTTTCAAACACATCCACAGGTGTGATGTAAGAAGGATTTGTTCTGCTAAAGCTTAAACTGCTTTCACAAAATCAGGAAACTTACGAAGGCAAGTCCAGACACTCAATTAGTGTACTAAAATCTCTTCCAGATAACCTTTTCAAATTTTTCACTTTATAGATTTTTCCCAAAGTAAAGTGTTTTCTCTAAAAACATGAAATAACAGAAAACCAAAGCATAAAGAAGAGGCAAGGGATAAAAGCAAGTTTTCTTTTGTCCTTCCTAGGAAATGATAGCTGAAGCTTCTTTTTACCTATTCAATGCTACCAAGAGAAGAGTTTTTTTCCGGAGCGTACAGATCTTAATACCTGCCACATGGTCAGCAGGTAATTACAGCAAAGTGGTACATGAATCATATGATAAGGTAAGAATGAGAGATTTCATTCAGTGAGCTTAAACTTCTCCTCCTGGAGGGGAAAAAAAATACCAAAGTATGTTGTGCTTAAGCTCTGAAAATGAGGATTTAAGCAAAAACAAACCACTTCTATTGATGCAAAAGTGATACTACTGGGCAGAATGCTGTTCAGAAAATAAATGAATAACACCTAATTCAACCACACAACTGTACTGTTAAGGCATTTTCATTTTTAAAAGTTAAAAAAGTGAGAGCAAAATAAATAATTGCAAATTACATGATAAAAATAATTGAGTAATATGCCTTTGTCCACATAGCTTCTCAGAAGATCAGTTTACTTTATAATTTAGTCTCCTGTCTGAAGTTTATGGTTGAGAATCAAAAATCAATTTCATGCTGCTGAGGATGAGCTGGGATGTGACCAAGCCCAGTTATAGCTTTCTTCATTTATGTTCTGTCAGAAGCAGCGGGCATGCACATCTGCACAGAAACTGGGACCACCCACACACAACAATGTAACTGTTCTCATACCTAATTAATGGAATTTCGCATTGGTTCAAATCCAGGATGTTGCTTTAGAACAGTAAAGCAATAAGAATGCAAGAAGTGTGTGTGTGTGTGTGTGTGTGTGCTGGGGATTAAGTACGTGTATGGGAGAGTGGGATGGAGGGCTCTTTTTCTGTCTCAACACAAAAGAGCTTAACCTTAAGGACTTCATAAATTTCAAATCATGGTTAACCATGGCAGCATATGCTGAAATATATACTATGAATAAATGTTACATGAGTTGGTTTAAAGATATATTTATTTATTTGAAAGACAAGGAGAGATTTTCCATTCCTTGTATTCCTCCTTAAGATAACAAAAGCCAGGTCTAAGCTCATTGAACAGAGCCTGAAGGAGTATGTCCTGTTACCTAGCACGGTGATGGAATCTGTGGAAAGTTGTTCGGAAAAGCCCAAGACACTTTATAGCACTGTCCTGAATGAGGTATAAGTGCTCTTAACATTTCCTCCAGTATTTTTATTTTACTTCCTTATGTTTTACAATACCAGACCATCACAGTCCTTATTTCTTACAAAGATGTATTAATCTAGAAATGGAGAGGTCAAGTGAAAGTAATGTAAATTAGCTGAGCTCTTAAAATAGAAATGTTTGTGCAAGTGCTGACTATCGATTTTTTGGCTGTAAGTGAATTCTAAACTCCATGGGCAAGCCTCCCCCCCTCCCCCCGCCCTTTAATCTGTTTTTAAATTAGAGTGTGGCTTTGCACTGGGAAAGGCACAGACCTCAAGTGTATTGTTCAAAATGCTTTAACAAAAGTACACATTCGGTCACCAGCATCATAGTTCCAGGGGTAGGGTCTTAGGTGGCACTTTTGTTTATGCAGGCCAATGTCCTTGTGACTGACTGGAATGGAGCACATGGAGATGACCCATTTGTCCTGCAGCACAGAGGCTGTGGACAGGAAGGAAAGTACATTCATTTCACACCTGCCTTTCTACTGAACGAGAAACTTACTGCAGGCTATGACTCACGAGGTAAGTACTGCCTTTCCAGCGATGTTTTGATCTTGTAACTCTTAAGTGTTTTGTCATCCTTTCCATATAAATACCACATTCTACACAATGTATTTTATAAAATTCTTCATGTAACTTTATCAAATCTGTTCTTGCCCTTGTCACCATAACATGGTGATAATCCTTGCACGAACATGGCTTTCTGAGCACCTCTCACATCCATGAGCATTCACAAACTTCCCTAAGATGTTCATCGTGGACAATTCCCATCCCTTTATTTATCCTAACTCCAAAAACTGCACAGTGTGCCACAGACTGAGTCAACTTAGCAGATATCATTGGTTCCCAGAGCTTAACACAATTAAGAAAGGGAAGAAGGCAGGAACCAGGAGAGAGAGAGGGAGAGAAAGAGAGAAAGAGAGGGAAAGAAGGAAAGGGAAAGGAAGGGGACCTGAAGGGAAGCATTGTTTTGGGAGAGGATATTATTCGGAAAGCTTTTGTGGAGAAGTCAATTTCGATTTAAATTTGAAAAGAGATGTATAATTTAGAGGCTAAGAAATAAAGTTGTAACTGATTTGATGCTTGGGATGGGGAGTTCCATGAACCAAGAGTTGGAAATAAACATAAGCATGAAGAATAAGGGATACAATAGAACAGACCACCCACGCTGGAGAGGAGCCTTTTCTAATCCTTCCTCCTTTCCTGACCCTTCAATTCCAATCATTTCTGCAGACAGAATTCTCTACCAAGGAGAAGGTATGCTTGAGTAGCAGCACTAAAGATGACAAAGGCTCAATTTGCTTTTCACACTGTCTTTTTTCTTTCGAAAGATTTATTTATTTTCATTGGAAGGCAGATATACAGATAGCAGGAGAGACAGAGAGGAGATCCTCCATTCAATGACTTACTCCTCAAGCAGCCATAAAGGCCGAAGCTGAGCCCAACTGAAGCCTGGAGCCAAGCTCCTCCTGCGGGTCTCCCACGCAGGTGTAGGGTTCCAAGGCTCCGGGCCATCCTCGACTGCCGCCCCCCGTCCCCCAAACTCCCGTCCCCCAAACCCCCGTCCCAGGCCACAAGCAGGGAGACAGATGGGAAATGGGGCCTCTGAGACTAGAGCCGGTGGCTTCATGGGATCCTGGCACGTGCAAGGTGCAGATCCCAGCAGATAGGCCACCACTTTGGGCCCCTCACTGCCTTTTTATGATGTTGGGGGTAGAGTAACAGGAACCGGAAGAGGAAAGTGGGATAGGTAGTTGGACTTCAACTCTTAGGTGTGGGTTCCTACAGAGATGTTACATTATGAAATGCTTAGCGAGGATCCTCGCTGAGATGGCAGGAGCTTAACAGCCAGAGTTCTCTCTCCCATAGGCAGAGTGTTTGTGCACGAGTGGGCCCATCTCCGGTGGGGTGTATTTGATGAATATAACAATGACAAGCCCTTCTACATCAATGGACAAAATCAAATTAAAGTAACAAGGTTAGTACTTTTAGTCATGTTTAAGTTTGTCATTATTTACTTGATTCTAAAATTAAGTTTATAGTGGCAGCTTAAATTTAAATAAGGAGGATAGCTTTCTACTTAGTTTTTTAAGTAAGTAAATATATGTGTGGTTCAATAGATAAACATTATAAAAGATTATACCTTAACTGTCTGACATTACCCACTGTCTTAAACCTGTTCCTCCCATAAATATACTTGGATTCCCAGAATTAAAAAAAAAAAAAAAAAACTCGTAAAAAAAGAAATGTGAGTTTTGGGAGAGAAGTTCATCTGGAAAGCTTATTGAGAAGAAGTAAATTTTAATTTCAATTTTGAAAGGAACATAAGATTGAAGTCCCTTTTTAATTTGTCTCTTTGGCTTTTCTTAGTTATTCAAATTCAAATATGAATGTATAATTTACCTTATTCTGTTTAAAAATAGCTAAATAGTATTACACTATGTAAAATTTATCAATAATTTATTCAACCAATCCCCTGTTATTGGACAAATGTGTTGTTCGCAATATTCTGTTACTATCAGTAAAGCTACAAAGCATAACATTGTACGTATGTTATTTCTCATGTACACAGGCAGGCAGGATTGGGTATATACTTAATGCCTTCAGAAACAAATGGGTCAAAGAGTTCCTTTAACTGCAATTTGAACAAATACTATTTGATCCTTTCCTGAAAGTTGCACTGTTTTTCACTTCCACTGACTTTTGTGATTCTTATTGAAGAAGGAAGTCTTTAAATCTCATTCTCTGTTCCCCTAGCTGTGCAATCAAATTAAACTCAAAGGAGCTGTGATAGAATGGTGGCCTCCTTGGGCTTCCTGGGTCTCCCACAGGTCATCTGGGTAACTGTGAAAGCCCCTGGCAAGCAGGCGCCCTCTTTACGGGGCTTTAAAATTCGAGTACATTTCCAAATTACATAAACTTCTTAATAGAGCAGTTTTTGCAATGTTTTATGCGTACCTAGCAATCTACTGCACTTCAAGTAAATAACTATGTAAGGTAGTTGAAAACTCAACTATTTCTATAATAAACCCAATTTCAAGTCTCTCTGTTTTTAGGTGTTCATCTGACATCACAGGCATTTTTGTATGTGAAAAAGGTCCTTGCCCCCAAGAAAACTGTATCATTAGTAAACTTTTCAAAGAGGGATGCGTGTTTGTTTACAACAGTACCCAAAATGCCACTGCTTCAATAATGTTCATGCAAAGTGTGTCTTCTGTAAGTATGGCCTTGGAATGGCAAAAATCCTATAAAATTCTATCCTTGGTTAAAACATATGGATATGCTTTAAGTATTTAAACTTCAAAGTAATCAAAGCTCGCTATATCCTACTTTCCTTTTTTGTGAAGATTTATTTACTTGTTTGAAAGGCAAAATAGCAGAAAGAGAGAGGAAAACACAAACTTCTGTCTGCTGATTTACCTCTCAACTGACTTCAACAGCCAGGTCTAATCCAGGATGAAGCCAGGAACCAGGAACTCTCTCCTAGTCTCCCTCATGGACTGCAGATTCCAAAATATTTGAACCATCTAGTTCTTCCTTCCAGATTCTTTAGAACAAGCTGGATCTGAAGTGGAGCTGTTGGAGCTTCCAACCAGCACTCAGATGTGGGATGCCAACAACACAGTGAGAAGTTTATCCCACTCTACCACAAAGCTGAGTTCAGGGTTCACTACATTTTAGAACCTAGGACATCTTAGAGTTCATCTAGTTTTTTATTCTACAGAGTTATAATTTTAAGTCTCTCCTCAAGATAATTACCAAAATAAAATACCTTAGAAAACTAATCATTTGTTCTCCAGGAGAGGTGAGTTAGCTAGATGACTCTGGATACTGCAAAATTAATTGTTTGTATGGTGGGGTTCCTTGTATCATTGCATAGGAAGATGATGAGGGAATGATCGGGGGGGCAGTATTGGGGTTAGTGGTTAAGACCCTAGTGAAGATGCCCCTGTCTGAGGACCTCGCTGCTGGCTCCAGCTTCCTGGTAATGTGGACACTGGAAGGCATTGGTACTGGTCAAGTAGTTAAGTTCCTTCCACCCTCATAGAAGACCTGGATTCACTTCAGCTGCTGGTTTCAGCCCAGCTCGACCATAGCCCCATAGCCACCTGTCATGGGCATTTGAGGAAGGAGCCACTGGGAAGGAGTGAGCTTTGCCTGTCTGCTTCTACCTCAGTCCCCCTGGAAAATAATATATTTTTCAAACACATTGAATTAGTAAGAGTGATATACTTTACATCTACTCTTACCTGAGGTAGCAAACCACTCTATTTGCAATTCCTAATTCTCTTTTATTTTGCATAGTATAGAAATTAAATGGAAAGGTGAAGTCTCACATGAAGTCTTATAACTGTTACTCTACACAACAGAAACTCAGCCCTATTAGTGAAAAGACACAGTCTAGCGTCCAATTCTAGAACACTGATTTGGAAATCTCTATTTAAAAAGCGTGTGATAGCTGTTGTGAGAGAGAGGGGTGTCTTCCTCTCTTGCCGGTTCATTTTCACTGTGAGAGCAGCCATAAAGGGAGTGGTGAGATTCTCAATGGAAGCCTGCCTTGAGAACAGGGAATCAGAAAGAAATAAGCTGCTTGAGTGAGAGCTGTGATCCTTCTGGGTCACAAAAACCTGCAAAGCCTGCCTTTGTGTCACCCCTCTATGGGTTGTACTGGGCTGGGCTGGGCTGGCCCATGGCCGTTGAATTAACACATTTTGCTGCTTGAAGATCTTTTATTATTATCATTATTATTCAGTCTAATTTTAATCAAGACTCCGAATTGTTTTGTAACTTGAAGATTGGTTTGCCTGTTTCTTGTCCCATTTACTATATTCTTAGTTGCTAGCTTATGTATCGATGCCAACTCAATTTCATATGTTTGGTCCCATTGTTTTTAATAAGGTACAATCTTTGTGATCAACATCCAATCAGAATGAACTCCCACAGTCTCTTAGCCACAGTTTGGGGAAAGAGAGATAAATGAAATTAAGCCAAACCAGCTTCTACCTATTTCCTTGCCCAACTAGCAAGCCACAGCTGCTTCTTCAATGAAATCAGAGGAGAGATTAGAGAATCTATGATATAGATAGAGAATCTGTGTCCTGTTAACAGACAGTATGGAGGCCTGAAATGAGACAAGCTGTCAATTCTGTTCCTTGCCAGTGCAAGCCACATCTTTTAGTGGGTGCTGACATGGATTGGTGTGTATCAATTGATCACGTTACCTCTGTATTTTAAATTAGGAAAAGGAGGTGTCAGGAAGTAGATTTAAGTTGTATTTTTTATTTGTATATCTTGTTGTTACAAATCAATATTTGAACTAAACCAATAAGTGGTGACTGATCAATCAATAAAGGTGCAGCAGTCATTCACTATTGATTCTATGGAATTGTCCAAAACAGATAACATCTCCTGGGCTGTTTTCTTAATACATCATGCTAAGGAAGGAGGAAGATCATTTTGTTTTCTTAAGACTAAGGTATACATACCTGGTCTGCTTTCTGTTAGCCAAGTGCAAATAAACTTTTAATGGGAATCAACATCACCCAGGTGCTCAGGTGTCAGAAAAGAATGCCAACATTTATTTGCAAACCAGTTCTCATTCTTGAAGGAAAGAAGTGCTTTGTTGTAACACTTCCTGGTTTGCTATTCTGTCTGCGCACCTTGTCTTTCTGTCCAAGTTACATAAGAATGAGAAACATCTCCAATACTGAAGGGGTGCTCTTCCCAGCTCATCAACTTTGCTCTCTTTGCAGGTGGTTGAATTCTGTAACACAAGTAACCACAACCAAGAGGCTCCTAACCGCCAGAACCAGATATGCAGCCTTGCAAGTGCTTGGGACATAATCACAGCCTCAGCTGACTTCAACCACAGCACTCCTCTGAGGGGGTCTGAGCTGCCGCCTCCTCCCACATTCTCCGTTGTGCAGGCTGGTGACAAGGTGGTCTGTCTAGTGTTGGATGTATCCATCAAGATGGCAGAGGTAACACTTCGAACCAAAATGATTGCAAACCATTTATCATTCCCTTCTCTATTAGTTCTTAATTCTTATTTAAGAGGGTAAGGATGAGAATGGGAGATGCAAAGGTTTGGAACAATCACAACTTATTTTCATGGAAATGGGAATAAAATTCAGAATGTGTCCCAGAAATCTGGACAATGCAGATAAATGAACTACACAGATAATTCCCAACCTTCATTTTTGCCATTGATGGCAACTTGTTTCCCACCAAGACTACTTTCTGAAACCCTGATACATAAGAAAAACTCTTGCAACAGCGACTTTGTGTAAACAAGCACATTGGTAAGCAAGCATCTGTGGTTGAAAACAATAGTTGGAATTTGCAGTAGCTTGACTCACATTGTGTGTATATGTCCTGTAACCTCATATCACATGACCATAGCTCAGTCACCCAACAACCTAGCCAACTCCCAACAATCTGTACAGAAACTTCAGCCCTAAATACGTTCAAAGGCATAGTCTCTGATACCAGGCAGGTGTGCTTAAATCCTGGATCCTTTACTGTCTGTGTAATTGAAAGCAAGACAAGCTCTCTGAAGCTTAGCTTTCTTCTCTATAAGATAAAATTATAATACTGGCTTCTGTAAGAATCAGCCATTATGCCTTTAGCAAACTTGCAAGCCAGTTGGTAGACACAAGTATTTTTAGAACTTAAAACTGTGTATCTTACAATTAAGTATACTAAACAAATGTATTAGGTGCTCAAAATCCATCACTTCCTAGTTTTTTCTTTAATACTAGCTTTACTATTATTTACATCTAGGATTTGGCTAGAAGTATTTTTACATTTTAAGTGGTGAGGAAAAATTTCTGGAGAATAATGTTTCTTGACACATAAACATCATATAAAATTTATTTTCCAGTGTCTATAAGAAAAATAATGTATTTGTTAATGTACTATACCACCCATGGCCACTTTGGTGCTATAATGGCAGAGTTGAGTAGCTGCAACAGAGAATTTTGGGCTTATGAAGCCTGAAGTACTTACTATCTAGCACTCTAAAATCAAAACAAAACACAATCTGCAGAATCCTAATCTATATTATCTTAAGGTTATTTGTGATTTTATTATATCTGTACAAGTGTGTTACTGTACTCCTCTTTCCAACTCTGTATTTGGTAATGTTACATTGTTAGCTTGAAGTCAGCAATGGTGGGAAACTTTACCCCCAGGAAATGGCAGCTGCTAGAGATGAGGGCATGCTCCTTCTTGTCTTCCTATTTGCCTTCCTTCCTTACATCCCTCTCTTCTTCCGACTCCCTACACTCCTGTTTGTCATTCCAAAAAGCTAAATTTTAAATACTTATTATCCTACCACTGCCTATATCATATGAATATTGACAGAGAATAAATGTGATAATAAATGTGAAGTTTTTGGTTCATAATAACTTATAAGCAGCAGCTTTTATTTTGATTGTATTGCACATTGAAGAAGAGCATTTTTGAGCTGCTCTGGTCTGTGCCTCATTAGTCCTAGAATATTTGCCTCTACATGGAGATGTGTATGGGCAGGGAGGGGGTGCTCACCTGAAATTTTAAGAACTGTGCTGATGAGATCAGCAGTTGGATAATTTTATAGTACCGTCTCTCTGCCAGTGACTAGGATAGGCTTTTCTCAGTCATGATCTCTTGGCAATTATATGGACTACTTGCCTATGTTGAGGGAAAATGGATGGAGTTAAAAAAAAAAAAAGATAGCTGCACTTAAGACATGAATCAAGCAGGAGAGAAATAAGCCCCAAGCACAAATTTATTTCAAAGTCACCCTCCCTTTTCCTGCTCATACCATCATTGATTCATTGTACCCATTCATTCATTTATCAGGTGCCTATTCTGTGCTGGCCTGTGGGATAGATATGGAGAACAGGGCCTCTGCTCTAAAATGGTTTGGATCTAATGAGGGAGCCATACACGTGAATAAGTTTGACAAAGTCTCACAAAGGTGTGAGTTGCTATGGGAACATTTAAAAAGGCAGCATCTATTGCTGTAGAATACAGGGCTCAAAGTAGACTTTTACTGAAAAGGATGAACTTGGAGTTGAAGGATTGTAGGTGCTTGTTAGGTCAGGAAGTCATTGTAGGAAAGGAAACTGTGTGTAGTGGCCAACAGTTAGAAATTAAGAGGACTTATTGAGAGAAAGGGGACTGATGGGCATGGCTATCATTAACACTGGGTAGATCTGAGGCAGAGGCAGCAGAAAAGAAGACCTGGTATGGATCTGAATGAGATGTGACACATTGACTGTTAGGTTCTGTTTAAAAATATGGAAGCCGCTGTCAGAGGAGTGGTAGATCTCTGGCACATCTACTTGGGAATAGAGGTCATGGTTGGAAATGATGACGGCAATGATAACTATTGCATTCTGAATTTTACTTAGTTCCATTTTGCAAATGAGAAGACAAGAAAGAATTTTTCAATGGTCACAATTTCAACAAAGGTTAAAGGCAGGATTCAAGTGCTTGTTTTGCAGACTCTACTAAGTGCTGTAAGAGAAACAATATTTAAGAAAATCGGAGTGTGTAGTTTGAGTTACCTGGGAGGATGATGAATATGAAACACAGGCCCTGGCAGGAAAGGAGGTATCTGGGTTGGACACAGAGGTCAAAGACATCCCCGAACACCTGGCCCTTGGAACTCAGCTTGCTGCTGCTTTCCCTTCTTCCACAGTCTTCCAAATGACTTCAGTGAATTAGTAGGTAGCATCATCTACCCAAAGCTGAGTGTGAATATTGCATTTGGTGAGTGCCTCATTGTATAGCTGCATTATCATATACTCACACATCTTTCAGTTGATCTTCAGAGAAACTTTATTTTACTAAGAAAGAGGAGCCAGAATTGTGGCAAACTGGTTTAAGGCTGCTATCTGCAATGCCAACATCCCATATGGACACTGGTTCATGTCCCTGCTACTACACTTCTGATCTAGCTCCCTCCTAATAACACAGAACTTTATCTTGTAAAAATTGTACCAAAAATTGAACAAACAAGATCCTAGCATTATGACACTCAAAAAAGTGTGACCCAATGTTTCTGAAATATCAGCTGAGATATTTGCTAATTTAAATCATCTTACTCATACTTTCAGTTACCGATCAAATGTTCATATGTGCTTTCTCCTTTTTGGGACATAGGCTGACAGACTCCTTCGATTGCAGCAAGCAGCAGAATTTTATTTGATGCAGATTGTTGAAATTCACACCTTTGTGGGCATTGCCAGCTTCAGTAGCAAAGGAGAGATCAGACTGCCGCTCCAGCAAATTAGCAGCCAGGATGATCGCAAGCGGCTTGTTTCCTATCTGCCCACGGCTGTGACTGCTGAAGCAGAAATCAGCATCTGCTCGGGACTAACGAAGGCCTACGAGGTGCAGTAGAGAATCCTAAGTCTCAATCTCCATGACTTTCCTTTTCCTGCCTTTTGTACCTGAGCTTCCTTCTCATTAGTGTCAACCTGCTATGAAATGCTCAAAGCATACCTAGCTTTTAGAGGAATGATATATGATTTTTAAACTCAGAAGCCATTGCTCACCATTGGGCTCTTTGTGCTTGCCAAAGTACTTGGCATGAGACAATTGCTTCATACATACTTATTTAAGGCTAAGGAAATTAAATAACATCTGGACACTTTCTAAACTGTCCCCATTCATTCTGGGACAGTCTGGCTGTGGCTATTGTTACTGTCTAGACCAGTACGTCTGAGTCAATCCAGACCAAAGGTATGCTTCAGGAATGACAGAGTTGTCTAATCAGCACAAGTCTGTATTCTACATGTGGGATGCAGCCATGCAGCAAACACCTGATTCGCAGTGAGACTCATCAGCTATGGTTGCTGCTGCCCATGGGCAAATGTTCCTTAAGCTGGTCTGCCCACTGAAATCCCCGGGAGCTTTAAAATTGCTGATGACTGGGTCCCACCCCTAGAGATCATAGCTTAATTCATCTAGAGTGTGGCCTGATCACCAAAATTGTTCAACTCTTCAACTCCCCAGCTAATTCAAATGTTGAGAAGCATTGCTCCAGGCCCCTTTACTGGTCGCTCTCTGGATCTCAGAGGCAAGACTCTCACGTGTTCCTATGGCCTCTATGGTAGACACTAGTCTCAACTGGGGGTGCATCACCCTGCCTCTTCTATGGGGAGCTACAGGGAACCTCAAAGAGGCTTATGCAGTTACTGTGCAAAGCGGATTCTTCAGCTTCCATTTCTTTTCAAATGACTGATGTTTTATGTTCAGGAGGTGGAAAAACTGAATGGCAAAGCTTCCGGCTCTGTGATCATATTAGTGACCAGTGGTGACGATGAACATATTGGCAGCTGTTTACTCAGTGTGCTCAGCAGCGGCTCAACCGTCCATTCCATCGCACTGGGGTCATCTGCAGCCCGAAACCTAGAGGGATTGGCACGTCGTACAGGTCACACACTTTGTAAAACTTGTCTTTTTAAAAATATTTTATTTGAGTGGCAGAAAGACAGAGAAGGAGAGGAGAGAACCTGAGAAAGAGAGAAAGAATTCCCATATGAAATTGGGAGCCAGGCTTAATCTAAGTTTAACATGGGGGTGCCAGGAACATGATGACTTGAGCCATCTCCTACTGTCCTCTGTCCATCAGGATCTGCATCAGCAGGAGTGGAATCTGGAGCTAGGTATCAACCCCAGGCGATCAGAGGTGGCACAGGCATCTTAACCCCAGGACAAACACCTGCCCTGAAAACTCATCTTTTAGATCACGTCCTTTGAAAGTAAATATTATAAAGCACCACCACGAAACTCAAATTGTGGCTTAATTGAAAAGATTGCCTTAAAAAGCACAAAAATCACTGCTAAAATCTGTAATTTGGGATTTCTGTTTTGTTTCTATTGTTTAGTAAGTCTCAATTTTCCACCACTAGCAATATGTACTAATTCTTTTATCATTTTTTTTTTGGTTAAAGCAGCCTTGAACATATAATTATGGAACTAAAAATGATGTTTGAAGATTGAATCCACTAACATCAATGACAAAAGACAGAATTGTCACATATATAAACATATTCAATCTAAGTGAGGCACAGAATTTTATTTTCAGTAAAAATTGAGTATACCAATTTTTCAATTGAAAAATAGGATTTATTGAATTAATTTTAGAAAAATATGCTTTCTGAACATAATTATAAGCAGTAGTGTAAACAGATAGCAATCCAGGTGAGATAGGAATTGCCTCAAACTGTTCAGTAAGTGTTTATTGGGTTCTAGACCCTGTTCCCAGAGGCTGGACAGAACAGCCAGAAGCAGCCCTGGGGCCTCTGACCACGTGGTGTGTAGGATGCCATGTCAAGCCCACCAGGACAAGTCCTGCTTCCCCACACCCACACCCTGCAGCTAAGAAAGCAAGTTGGAAACAATACGACATTTTGTCTTATTTTGTCCGTTTTAACAGCTAACATCCCAATCATATATTTCAGGAGGTTTAAGCTACTTTGTTCCGGATCAATCAAACTCCAATAGCATGATTGATGCTTTTGGTAGAATTTCCTCTGGAACTGGAGACGTTTTCCAGCAGAGCATCCAGGTCAGGATTTCCTGGGTGTTACATTTATGGAGGGGTGGGTTAGTGGATGAAAAAATAATATGAGAAAAAGTAAAATCTCTTGATAAAGAATAATAAAATGGCACTTGTTTTAACTGTAACAAAATATTTGTAGCAACTGCACATATGTAATGTATAATGCTCTGTTTCTGCAATGCATTTTCACAGGAAAAAGTTATTTATATAAACAGTATATGTCAGAATTAAATGATTTTTATCTTTGTCAATTCTTATTTTTCGTGAAAGAAAAAGAGAAAGGTCTGTTTATGCACGGGAACTATACATTCTCTTTAACAGATTGAAAGTATGAGTGAAATTGTTAAACCTCACCATCATCTAAAACACACTCTGACTGTGGATAACAGCGTAGGCAACGAGACTATCTTTTTTGTCACATGGCAAACCAGCGGGGCCCCTGAGATTGAATTATGTGATCCTGATGGAAGAAAATACCACACAAACCATTTTATCATCAGTCCAGCTTTCCAGACAGCTAGTCTTCGGATTCCGGGAACTGCTAAGGTGGGTGCTATGAGCTTGTTCACAGTGACAAGGAGCCAGGTTTATGACTTTCAACTGGATCATGTGATCAGTGCATTGAATATGGGAACATGTATTCTAATGCTCTGTATTAAAACCACTTTAAATTTATGAAGCAATCTGTGACTATCGAAAGCAAGAGAAACAACTAAGGTATGGACTGGGTAAAGACTTTGCAATTCAGGGATGGAAACGAATACTTTTCACAGCTAGTCCGAATAATTTTTCTAGTGTATATCTTTATTTAATAATTTATATGCACATATTTGTCTCTGTGCTGGGGAAAAAATCTACCTAGAATTTATGATAGGAATACATGCAATGTGTTTGTTTTTGAGCACCTACTGTGTGCGAAGTCTTGTTCTAGGTCATTTGCAACAAAATGCTCTAATGGGAGTAAGCACAGGATATTATCAAAGCATACAGAAGGGACAAAAAGAGAACGCTTCCTGAAAGTAAAGGCTCCAAAACAGAAATATGACAGATAAGAAGGCTGGTAGGTGTGATGATTTTCTGATTATAGGAAACCAGCACACAGAAAGGTTTGGAGAAAAAGAACCTGGCTATTCATAGAAGTGTGTGAGTAGCTGATACAACTGAATGACAGCATAACCTGAGAAGATGGTAGACAGGAGAAAGCAGAAGTCACATCTGCCAGGGCTTGGCATAGCTAAAAGTGGGTAGAGGCTTGAATATGGAAGGCGAAGGGAACCACTGAGGATTCTAAGGAGGGTTGTAAATTGACCATATCTGTTTCTATATGCCTGGATCCCTTGCTTCATCACAACCTGCCTTTACCAGCCTTGTTGGCAGCCTCTTAGCTGGTATCCTTGATTTGCACCTGGCACCCTCCTCACCTCCCTCACTCTTACCCTCTATCCAAGTAATCCTTCTTAAGCATAACTCTGACCCACCAGCCTCCTGATCAGAAACCACTGGTGCTTCGGGATAAGATCTGAGTGGTTACTGTGACACACAAGGCACTCGTGTTTGTTTTCTGCTGAAGATTGTTTTTTACTCTTGAGATTATCTCTTCTCCTAATCGTCCTGCTGTTCCTTCAGTAGTAGGAATACTGCTACTGAACATTTTTCTCCAAATCCATCATGTTATTTTCACACCCACATTCAAAGTCTGAGAACACTTTACATACTTCTTGTTCCCTTTGACCACTTAGCCTGGATTAGGTGCCACGTAACAGGGACATTTTTCATGTGAAGGTTCCTGCCATTGGTCTGTTACCAAGCTTGAGCCAAAAAAGAGAACCAAAGGAAGATGGACAGTCAGAGTAATAATGCATAACAAGTGAGCTGAGGATAGGAAGATGTTTAATGGATTATAGATAGATGGATGAATAGATCTTGATGGCTAAGCACTTGAATCTCTTTGAAGATGTTTGTTTGTTTGTTTGTTTTATGTATTTTACAAAACAAAAAGTCTTTGCTTTGCAGCCTGGACCTTGGACTTACACACTGAACAATACACACCATTCTCCTCAAGCCCTGAAAATGACAGTGGCCTCTCGTGCCTCCACCTCAGCTGTGTCCCCAGCCATTGTGGAGGCCTTTGTAGACAGAGATGACACCCATTTTCCTGACCCTGTGATGATTTATGCAATTGTGAGAAAGGGTTTTTATCCCATTCTTAATGCCACTGTAATTGCTACAGTTGAGCCAGAGACTGGAGAGCCTGTTACACTAAAACTTCTTGACAATGGAGCAGGTGAGTAACAAGCAATGTTACAGGGTCAACGTCTTCGTGTTCTCAAGTGATGGTATGTGGTAGTAGTGACATTAACTCTACCTGTAAAATTCCACCAACTCCATTATTTCTCTTATTCAAACTTTTCCAACCCAAGAGTCTCCTCTAAGAAGCTAAGAGTGAGCACCATTTGGAAGAAAGTTACTTGATGCCTTGGTCTAGGCTTTCTTAAGACCAATGACACTGTCCACTCTTACTTCATGTGGTCCCATGCTTATATGTCCTTAGGACATACCCTGTTCCTTCCAGGATTCACCAGTTTATGAAATAGTCAGACAACTAAAATAGCAAATGGAACTAAAAAAGAGAGATATAGACGCAGATCATTTCATTTCTCCCCCCACCCACCCACTATTCTAAGTGTGGGAAAACAAAAAAAAAAGGAAATTGAACGTGTGACTGAGTTGGGTCTCAACTATTTTTTGGCCAGGTAGTTGGGTTGATGGAGACATAGCACAGTCATGCCTTTAAAGTGTGTGATTTAGTCCCCAGCAGAGTAGAGCAGCAAGCCTAGTGGAATCACAGTATGGATTTATCTACTGCTGGGAAAACCAAGCAGCCCAACTCCCAAGCTTTTGTTCTGCACACAGAGCCCAGAGCCTCATTGTTCTACAGGACAGCCGGTGCAGTACAAGACCAGGAAAATAGCAACATTTGGACTTTTTCCCACTATTTTTTGACTTTTAAAAATAAACTATTTTGTTATTCTACCTTTCTATTCTTTTTCCCCACTAAACCAAGTATTCAGGGTGAGAGTAGACCTAAAAGGTTTATGTTGGCAGTCTCAAGTGCTTCTTCTACCAAGAAGATTATTTCTTTTACTCTGTTGTTTTTCTCTGCTTATTTTTTGGTCATTGGATTTTATTTTCCCCCTGTACATCAGGTAGGCAGCCTATTGGTGTCTTATGGCATCTACACGTGGCATTTATAAAAGAAAAGTTCATTCAAGAGCTTGTCATTCAGATCTCTCTCTGAGGGAGAACAGAGGAGTTTTCATGTTGTGCCAATTGGAAGGGAGCCAGATGAACCCCTGGGTCTGTGCTTGCCCATCCACAGTCCAAAGCTATGCACTTCACAGAATGCTGCTTCTTTGTCACAGTCTCTGCACTGGCTTAGAAGAACAAACCCTGTTCTCCTAGGCAAAAACACTTGACTCACTTCCAAGGTCTTCTCCCTGGAACCGTTCCATGCACTTCATATCTTAATTTATACCAAAATGAAAGCAACAATGAAAGTACTACTTCAGCATGAAAATGTAACTTTGGTTTCCTCCTCTATTAATTTCTTTCTGTCAAAATGATTGACAGAGGTGTACTTGTGTGATATGAAGAGAATTTCCTTTGCATTCTCTCAGCAAATAAGCACCTTCTTACTAATCGTGGAGTCACTAAATACAATTTTTCTTTCTTTTCCAATAAGCACATTTTTTTCAGTGAGGTGTTTCAGCTCTTCCTATTTTATTTGAATATGTCCCCACCTTTTTCCTTGTAGGAGCCCTGCTTCTGTAGTAGAGAAAGGGAATTCTAGAAAACTTTAACAACATGTAATACTGACTTACAGGATTCTGTGTGTTGTGAGAACTGAATTGATTGCTAGGATACAAGAAACTGATTACCCTGTATGGCCACCAGTATTTGAATAGTGAATGCTATCTATACTTGAACTAAGCTGGATCTCCCATTGCTATCTTGAGATCTAGGACTTTCTGCCATTCAGCAATGGACTTGGCTTGCAGATGAACTGCTCTCTGAGGAAGAATAAGAAAGCAAGAACATCTAGTATGGATCAAGCTTTCAGTATGCCCCCTGAAGCTCAGGCACAATAGGCAGAACTGCAGCCTGTCCAACTCCAGTTCCGCAAGCCCCTGGGAATCTAAAGCAGCAGTTTTGTGTACTTTCCCATGAGGAAATTAAGGAACTTCACATTATTGTATCATTGTTTGGCCACCATAGTTTTTATCCATAAAACACTCAACATATAAAAATTCATATATTTGTATATATATATATATATATATATATATATATTCATTTCCTGGGGAACAGAATAATTTTTGTTTCAGAAGCATCTGTGATCAAAATCAATTTTAAAATTGTGCTTAGTTTCATAAAAGACTAATATTCTGTTCAGTGGTAGGGATGAAAGTACTTTAAAGATGATTTTTAAGGTTTTTAACACTGAAGTAGATACAACTGATTCATCTTTAGAAATCATGGAGTTACCAGTTTTCAATCTCTTAGCAATATCAAAGCAGCTATGAGTATGACAACACATGCAAAAATGCAAAGAATGAGGGAAATGCATTTTATTTGTATTACCTTATGTGTTTTATGAATCAATAATGAACTTTGATGACACATGCTGACACTGAATTTTGGTGTGCTTATACAGGTGCTGATATTATAAAAAATGATGGAATTTACTCGAGGTATTTTTTCTCCTTTGCTGTAAATGGCAGCTATAGCGTGAAAGTACGTGTCAGTCACTCTCCCAGCACACATATCCTAGCGCACTCCATTCCAGGAAGTCATGCTATGTACGTACCAGGTTACATAGCAAATGGTAAGCATCATGACCACTTTTATTTGAATAACATGATTTTGTGTGTTTATCTCTGATGTGTGTGTACGTGTGTGTGTTACAGAGGCAGAGATGAGAAAAACACATGGAATTTCTGTTTCCATATTTAACTCTTTATAATTGAGTCAGTGTGTAAACTGCCGCCTATCTTGTCAGTCCTCAGCGATTCTTGGGTAGCAGATATTGGGAAGGCAACAGCTCATTCCCACAGGATACTCTTCCTGCCTTCATTTTAGTCATTATTTTGACCTCTATCATGTGACTGCTTCGTTGGAATTACTAACAGACACACAGACACAGAAATTGTTTGAGTTCTCTCAGTTCTTAAACCTGTGTTTCATCTATAGCAGTCTGATGAAGACAGAGGCAAAAAGTCATTAACAGCTGAAAGACGAAAACCAATGGCCATCACCCCAAAAACGTGTTTGTGGTAAAGATAAACTTGGATGTTACAGACATCTGAGCAATTTCTGAGTCTGCTTTTCTTTCAGATAAAAATGTCAACTAAGTAGAAGAGAAATATATTTTTCTTTTTAATGTCACTTGTTTTTAGTTTCAGGTGGAAGGTGATGTTGGAAGTCAAAGAAAAAAATGTATCATTCTGTAGTCTTTCAAAACTGTCAAAACATTTCTAAGCACTTTGATTTCCAAAACTTAGTATTATTTATGTAAAACTACACGTGTGTTTTGATAGCTGTGATCAATCATTGGGACTATTCTACAACATGATTCTAACATTCTTTGTGTATTTTCCACTACAAAATAGTTAAGATCCTTACAAGGTTTTTTGCATCTTTCTGATCTTTTTTTGTGTCACATAGAGCACAGTTTACTCTGTGTTAGATGATTTAGATTTAGATGATTTCAAATTTAGATGATTTCAAAATTAGTATCAATTAACTCCCACAGCAACATACTTTGCTTAGATATGATTTTTGTATAATGTATGCAATATTTTGTTTCTAGATGGATATTCCTTTTCTAACATATATGTAGCATTTCTGAAAGATGCTAGATGACAGGCTTAATCCTAGCAACTTGAGATACAAAACAGAGGAAGAATTTGATTTTTGTCAAGGAGACTTCAGATGGTCTGAATATCTCTTTAAAGGCATGGATGCAAGTATCAGTACTTATGATACAGTAATATTAGAAGTATTCAAGATGGTTTAATTTGCACTACATCTACACCATTGAGATCACACGGAAAAGAAATGTTAGGTTTCCTTTTGCTTGCCTAGTATACAAAAATATTCCCTTTATCAACTCATCTTGGGGCAATGACTTTAAGGAATCTCTTCACTGAAAAATAGCAGCCGCTCTATTTCTTTTTTTTTTTTTAAGATTTATTTATTTATTGGAAAGTCAGATATACATGCAGAGAGGAGGAGAGACAGAGAGGAAGATCTTCCGTCCAATGATTCACTCCCCAAGTGAGCTCAACGGCAGATGCTATGCCAGCGCGTTCAAGGCGAGGACTTTAGCCGCTAGGCCACACCACCGGGCCCCAGCTGCTCTATTTCTGTACCACCAAATAAATCTCCTAACACAGCAGCAACTGTATCCTTTACCTCTCAGCGAACAGCCACTCCTCTACTCCTTCCCATCCAGTTCCCTGCAGTTATCCTGGCCCTGAGGACTATGCCTTCCCACCTCCAGTTAACTGTTCTGCTCTCTGCCGTCTGAGTTCCACTCTGACCACTCCACTGGGCTTGCTGTTATCCTATTCCCAAGTGGCCACCTGGTTCCCAATTCTCATTCTCTGAAATGTTTGGTCAGTCCTTTGTTCCAGCACCTCCTTGTCTGCTGGATCTGTAAATGTTGGCAATTCTCAGAGCTCAGTCCTAACCTTCTCATGCTGCCAGCTGAGCATCAGTACCTGGATTTGAAACTGACTCCCCCCATTTACTAGGTGTGTAATGTTGCAACTTAGTTAGCTTTACCAACTGCAAAAGTGTGGGGTAGCAATTGCACCCATTCATTGTCTTGCTCAGAAAATTAAATATCTGCTACATCCAGAGTAATTAGAGTAATTATTGGCACAGAGTCATTCTGGTACATTGTAGGTACTCAAAAAATACGACTTATCATCAGTCTCTTTCTGTTTAGCATACATCTTTTCTCAAATAGTTAATCTTCCTTCATCATTCCATATTTGAATCCACCAACATTTTCTTCTGATTTTGTCTGAAATACATTTTTCTTGCCTCCCTCATTGCTATCATCTAGCCCACCTGCTGTCTTCTCTCAATGTGAATTTTTTAAAAAAAGAATTATGTACTTTTATTGGAAAGTCAGATATACAAAGAGCAGGAGAAACAGAGAGGAAGATCTTTCATCCATGGATTCACTCCCCAAGTGGCCTCAATGACCAGAGCTGAACCAATCCGTAGCCAGGAGCCAGGAGCCCAGAGCCTCCTCCAGGTCTCCCACATGGGTGCAGGTTCTCAATGCTTTGGGCCATCCTCAGCTGCTTTTCCAGGCAACAAGCAGTGAGCTGTATGGGATGCAGGGCTGCTGGAATTAGAACCGGTGCCCATATGGGGTCCTGGCATGTTCAACGCGAGAAATTTAGCCACTAGGCTACCACGCTGAGCCCCAATTTTGTTTTATTTGTTTTGAGAGTCCAACCATCTGCTTGTCACAATGCCAGCAATAGCTGTAGCAGTACCGAAGTCAATGCCAAGATCCAGGATCTCCATGTCAGTCTCTTCAGTGGGTTCCAGGTACTTGACTCACCAACGCTGCCTTACAGGGAACATATCAACAAAAGCTGGCATCAGCAGCAGAGCCAGGACTTGAACTCAGGAACTTCAGCATGGGTTATTGTTGTTTCAGGGGTTCTTAACCACCAGGGCAAACACCCACTCTCACCTGAATAAAAGAATGGCTGCCTGAGTGGCCTCTTTGCTACTGCTCTTTAATCCACTTTCCACCAGGTAGCCAGAGTGACTTATATTTTACTATTATTATTTTGAATTACTTAATTAATTATTCCATGGTACAGTTCCATAGGCTCTGGGATTTCCTCCCTTCCTCAAATCCTCACCACCACACACACACTAATTTCCGCCATGTCATTACAATAGTATAGTCTTTCACAATCAGTCATAAGTCCATCATTCTGCTATTTAAGTTAGCTTGGCATTGTAGGCATGGACAATGGCAGAGAATCAGCATCCTATTGTCAAATTTCATTCAACAGTTTCATTGGGAGTCCCACTTTGATTTGGAGGTAGAGATGAACACTGCATTGTATCTTCACATCTGTATGTGATAATCTGTACCACATAGTTACTGTACATACACTTAAATGAAAAGCTGTAAAGCAAAATTAACAATAGAGAGAAAAACAGAACATTTACCGTAACATGAATACCATCACATCACTGTCTGCTTCTCTGTAGGATGTAAGATTAAAATCTAAATCCAACTACACTGTCCTGTAAGACTCTCTCAAACTATCCTCCTTATTTCTTTATTTTGTTGGTTTGTTTTTCCTAGAAAACTCTTCTACAAATTGGAGTTCATAAGCAAGCTTACTTTTTACTGGAATGTTCTATATCTGTTCCTTATCTACTTCACTTCAACAACTTTCAGGAAACATTTAAAAGATTGCTTCCTTTATAATCAACCTAAATGATACACCTGTGTTTTTTCCCTCTCTCTCCCTGCCTCTCTTATATCTTATCACAATGATAAATGTGAATTATTAACATGATTAATTTGACTATAAGTTCATGAGGGATATTATTTGTAATGACTGGTACAGCTTGTGTGAATGGATGAATGACTGAATAAACAAGTTCAGTTATTCTAAAGATACATCAAGAAAAGGGCTTTGGAAATGGTACTTAATCTGCCACGAACAAGCTGTTCAACAAGGATGTAATTTGTGAGTTTTGGCTGGTTTCTTTTGTGTCCCAGGTAATATTCAGATGAATGCTCCAAGAAACTCAGTGCGCAGCAAAGAGGAGAAAGAAAAGTGGGGCTTTAGCCGAACAAGTTCTGGGGGCTCCTTCTCAGTGCTGGGAGTCCCAGCTGGCCCCCACCCTCATGTGTTTCCACCATGTAAAATTATTGACCTGGAAGCTGCCAGAGTGGATGAGGAGGTGACCTTATCCTGGACAGCTCCTGGAGAAGACTTCGATCAGGGCCAGGGTAGGTTTGCTGACTTCATTACACGTTTTTCACCTACTAAACAGCATTTCCTGTAACTAAAAGGCTAAGCTGGGTGGAAACACCTTGAGAGTTCAGAGCTGAAAAAGCTACAAAAGGTTGTCCTGAGAAGCTTTGCATTGCTGCTAAGGCAGCGGTTCCCAGAGGCCAGCAAGTGAGTGAGGTCAGTGGCACCTCCCAGCAAGACTAAGACTGTGGGTAAATTGCAGTCGCTGATCCTACAAAAGTCTTCCTCACTGGCAGACAGAGAAACACAGATCTCTCTGCAGTGGTAACAGAACATGTGCTTCCAAATCCTAGAGGTGATTCATCTTCTCAAAGTAGGACAATGGATACCGTTCATGATTTTACAAGTCAGGTGTAGAGAAGTTTCCTGTAACTCATACAAGCCCTGGATCCCTGGCCCCTCTCACTCAGCTGTCCCTTTTTTTTTTTAGGGATTTTGGAAGCTGTCTCTTGAATTATGGCTGCCTTATCCTTTCTGGCATGGATGCTGATGAGTGCTACTTTATATTTTCCTTTTGTGAGACCTCTGCTAACATTCATGTTTCCTCTTGTACCATCTTTCTTTTTTCTAGCTTTTTGTCTAATTTTCAGAACACAATTTATGGAGACAGTTAAATTTCCTTCAACTATTTTTTATTATATTTTTGACAATCCTTAAATAGTTAATTAGGGTAAAAAGGTTCAAGGGCTATAGGGATGTGGGTAACACTATTATTTCCATATTGTTTCCTTCATGTGTCTGAGGTAAAGGGGGATATAGAGGGAGAAGCCCCACCCAGTTTCCCACCCACCCCAAGTCCCGGATGTGGAGCATGCTCTGAGATACTTGCTCAAGTGGTTTTGATAGTTCACCTTTTATGAATTGCTTCCAATCTCACCACGCCAAGCACGATGAGGTTGTTGAAGAATCCACTGATTGACACAGACCCTCATGGAGTCTCCATTTGTCCAGTACTTCACTACTGACAAATAGCTGAGGTGGTTGATTGACTTGTTCTGTCTTATCTTGGTTAGGGTTCTGAGTCCGGCATTTTGATTGCGGATGTCCCCAAAGAAATTTTGGGGTATTCCCAGTCCAGGTTCTTGTGTGTTCTAGCAAGCACAGGGCCCGGCATAGTCCATCGCCCCATCAGCTGGTGGTTGCAGTTGTTAGGTTGGTTCTGTTTTCACTCCCGACTTCCACTGGAACCAATGGGTGTTGCAGTCCAGCCTGGTTCTGCCCAGCACACACTCGGCCCTCACATAAATCAATGGGAGCTGCAGCCTAGTTGGAAAGACCCACAATAACCCCCACCAAGCCCACCCCCTACCCTGGTTTGCCAGTTTGTGTAGCAGACTAGTCCAGTTTGTCCCACATTCCCTTCTGCTCTCATACATGTCAACGGGTATTGTAACCTCAGTTCATCTAACCAGCTCAACTATCTAGCCTTCACGGATGTTGTTGGGTGCCTCTCTGTCTAGCCATCCCAGCCCCTGTCCTAGTTTTTGTGCCCTCCCGTGGGGGTGGCAACCCAAGAGGAAGGAACCCATTGTTTCCCTTCCAGGTCACTCGCACTCCCAGACTGTGCTCTCTCCAGGTGGTTCTGTGGTTTAACTTGACAGATCAAGCCCCCAGTGCCAGCTTCTGCCAGCTGATGTTGTGGCTAACCCCCAATAACCCTAACCTAATTGGTGTAATCTAATTGTAGATTGCACCAGTAGGAATAATCAGCCTAGCCTGGTTTTCCCCTGATCTGGTCCACATGAGGCACACAGGTGCTGTGTCCCTGCCTAGTCTGGTCTACCCCCATCCCAGCTCACACTCCCCAGTGGGAGTAGCTGTTCAGCTAGGGAACCACCCCTTAATCCCCTGCCAGCTCTGCCCCCTCCCTTCTTGGTTCTCATGTGAGCTGATTGGGTGCTGCGGTCACATCTGGCACAGGCAACCTCACTGTGGCATTCCATGTTGTGTACTGCTTTTGTTGCGACCAAACCTGGTTCGACCCACACTCTGTTCTGGCTTTCGGGTTTACCAGTGGATGACATGAACTGATTCAGCCTGGTCTGCCCTGACCCATGCCAAATGTATGTCAGTGGGATACTTTCCATGACCTCTTGGCTGTTTTCTTCCATGCTTCTTGCGCTTACCTGCAGGGTCTGTGTCCTGCCAGAGGATTTGCCTGGGCTCCTCCTTCAGAACCCCTCCAAGTGCCAGTTTTCAGGCATACCAGTGGGTCCATGTGCCAGTACTACTCAATTCGCCTCCTGTCCCAGCAGGAACAGTGGCTTTTCCTAACTGGCCTTCAACCCATTCTGGTTCTTGTTGTAGGATGTTTCAACCCAGCCATGGCTCGTCCACACCCCCATATAGCTCATATATGACTCAGTAGGGGTTTGAGACCTAGCCTAGTCTGTCCCACATCTACCCTGGTCCTCCAGAGCACCAGAAAGGTGTTGCAGTCTGGCCCAGCCTGGTGCATCTAGTCCCAGTCCACACTGTGCCAAGGGAGACAATAACTGTATCCTGACCAGAACGCAGTCCCATTCACCTGCTGCGACACCTGCCGTAGACACTGTGGCTCAGCATCTGTGGCTCATGCAGACCAGTTGGTGCAAAAACCTAGCTGGGTATGTCCTGGGCTCCACCCTGGTTTCTAATCTTACTTGAATCACCAGGAATTTGTGTCTCACCTTCACTAAAGCTGGCCTTATTCATGGGTGTCCCTAAGCTGCTATTTCATGTCCTAAAAACCCCAGAGCTCGCCGCTGGGCAGCCAGCAGGCAGAGCCTGGCACCATTGGGTGCACTGGCCACCCAAAGTCGAGGACTCAGCCGCCACCTTGTGGGCGGCGGCTTTGGCCTGAGTTGCTGGTCGGATTCTGTCAGGCAGGGCTCCTTCAACTAATTTGAAGGAGCCTTTATAATGACCCAAGTTACTGAATAGATTTTGGTCTGTGTTTGAATTTACATCTATTGAAATTCGAGTAGATGGTGTTTTTTGCTATTGAAGTATTACAGTAGTTTTCTATTTGATAAGGTTAATCCTTCTCCCTAGTAATTGTTTAGATTTTTATATAGCCACTTTGAATATTTTCAAAGAAGGAATTGCAAGCATTATTATTTCATTCATTTGAGAGAGAGAGAGAGAGAGAGAGAGACCCTTCCAAATGATAATTTACTCCTCAAAAGACCAGAGCCGCCAAGTATAGGCCAGGGTGAAACCAGGGGTCAGGAAGTCCATTCATATCTCCCATGAAGGTGACAGGGCCCCAACAATTTGAGCCATCATGAGTGCACATAAGCAGAATGTTGGAATCAGAGGCAGAGCCAGCACTGAAACCCAGATGTGTCAATGAGAGATGGGCCTCTCAGGTGAGAACTTAACCACTGTACCAAATGCTTGCTGCTATTGGCCTTTTTAACAGAATCACATGAAATTCACAAGACAAGATGGGGGAAATATCTTTATTATTCTAAATCTGGCCTTTCAGAAAATGTAAGTATTCTTGTTTAAGTTTCAAGGAGTCCTAATGAGATACTTTAATGTTTGTTCATAGTCATATCTCTGGTTATGTTTAGAGTATTTTATTTTGTTGTCATTCTCATTCATCATTACTAATAAGCTAGAGAACTTAAGTTGATATAACCATCTCATTGTATTTTTTCATTTCAGCTACCAGCTATGAAGTAAGACTGAGTAACAGTCTTCAGAATATTCGAGATGACTTTAACAATGCTGTTTTAGTGAATACGTCAAAACTAAGTCCTCAGCAAGCTGGCACCAGGGAGCTATTTACATTCTCACCCAAATTTTTCATAAATAGATCTGAGTATCAACTTGGTGAAGAAACCCAAAACAGCCACAGAATTTATGTGGCCATACGAGCAATGGATAGGAATTCCTTGAAGTCTGCTGTGTCTAACATTGCCCAAGTGTCTCTGTTTATTCCCTTGAATTCTGTTCCTGTACTTACCAGAGATCATCTTATACTAAAGGGAGCAATTGGTTCAATAGGAATGGCGTGCCTTATTATAGTTATAGCACATTGTGCTTTAAACAGGAAAAAAAGAGCAGACAAGAAAGAGAATGGAATACAACTACTATGAAGAAACCTACAAACCCTACAAACCATGTTCTTTCATAGATGTAAGACCTATGACCTTCATACTTTGTAAAAATTCACTGAACATCAAGTTAACATCAAAGCAGTATTTAAATGTATTGTATTTGTACATACTACACAGATAGAATATTTGCATGATAGACAACCAAAAATTATTTTGTAATACTTATTTTTGGAGGGTAAATTAGGGAATCCCTAGGCTTTGGCTACGGAAAACCAATAAAAATTGCTCTTGATCGTAACCCTGTTAAAATGCAAGGGCAAAATTAAAGTCAAGAAATGGATGATTTATTGAAGTGGAGAAAGGGGGATAGGTTTAGTGGTATCACTGTCTATACGAGGCAATTGTTCAGTTACTTTGATTAATTTTTCTTTTGTCCTTATCTGTACAGAACAGATTGCTTGTTTATGAGTAAAGATCAAGTTGCATTTTATATAGGAAGCCCCGATCGTAAAGTTATTTGCCTCTTACCTTTTGGATAACTATCCCACAGCTAACTCCATTATTACACAAAGAGATCTTTCTTCAACATAGGAAATAACTTTAAAATATTGGTATTATCCTTGTCCCTTCACAATGGTGTTGTAACAAAGGCCTATTGAATTTATTGTTTATCAAAGTAACTGTCTCAGTTTCTGCCTTGAGAAGTATAGGATGAAAATGTTAGAGCTCTCCTAAGGCTTTGAGTAAAGAATAGAGAACATTGTTCCGAGCTTATTTTACTACATATATGACTCATTTAGTTTTGTTCATTTTCAACCAAAGAAGTCAGGTGGAGAGATCCATATGGAAATCATTAGCTGATTTTGTGTTGTGTTAAATAAGGCCTAGAAATCCTTTTATAGTTAAGAGCTATTTACCAAGAGCAAGAGAATGGTTAAACACAGGTGCAATGACATAAAAACCCTCTTTCATCTAGTTTTACTTCCAATTTTTTAAAAAAGATTTTTTAAAAAGATCATTCAGTTTCAGAGACCTTAAGACTTTTTTGAAGAAATGTAAATAATAGCATAAAATAGATTTCAATTTTATAACAACAGACAATTAAGAAAAAAAAATTGATTATGCTTTGGGGAGGGAAATGTTGGGAACAAGTACAAAAAGAAAGGGACCATATAAAACCTGAGTGAGACTCGAAGCAGTGATGGGGAGAAAGCCAGCAACATATACCTTGCTCAGGCTGCCTCTTTGAACTTTACAGCCTATGGTGAACCTGCCTACTTTGCCCTCTGAGTCTCACAGTGTCTGCATCTTTACAGAGGGGAGCTGAATAAATGACAAAAATAGAAACACACTATGTGACAGTAATATATCCACCTTTGAGTTCAAAATATAGTATGTGTAAATATGTTAATATATGAGGTGAATAAAATATTAAAACTGTTACATCTATATACTTTCTGTACTCTTTTTTGTACTTTTATGTATTACTTGAAATCCTTTCCGATACAAAGACAAAAAATATAGAAACAGAAGAATAGGACCCAAAACAATGAGGTTTGAAACATTGGTCACTAGAGGGATGTTACATAACTAGCCATATCACTGAAGGTTTGACTCAGATTACAAGAGCAGGAAAAGGGTATGAGAGTAACATAGGCAGTCACTATTATCTTCAAGGGTCAGAACAGATATTCAGAAGGCAGAATTTTTTTTCTGAAAGTTGGAGTGATATCTCATCATATGTTTTTTTTCCTGTCTAAGGGATTACATTTTAATGAGAGAGACACAAGAGTCAGGTGTAGCAGATTTCTAAGGGTGGCTGATCTGTGAAGCCTGTGTACTGAGCTGATGCTTTTAAGCAAGCACAGTGGACTGCCCCCAGAGTACCTTGGTGCTTTCATGGTAATACTAAAAAATCAGATAAAGATTATATTTGCCTTTTGTTATAATGTAATTATTCTTGGAAGAATTGACCTCTAGACAGGACATGAACTTAAAAGTCAATGTAACATTCTATCGTACTAATAGTGAAATTCCTCACTTTAAACTCAGAATCCTGCTGCTAACAGTTCTACCTCTGAACAAATATAAAACACAACACTTGAGAGCCCTGGGCATTGACAAAAGTCAGACACTGGAAGAGTTATGATTTAAGAAAGGGTGAAAACTCGGGTGAGATTCACATTTAATGAGGTTTTCCACTTGGACCTCTCCCCATTTTGCATGAGAATCTTGGATAGGTTGCAAGCAGAGAGCAGCAGTGTTACTAGGCAGACAAGTCAGAAGCATGAGTTCTGAGAAATCAGAAATTTAGGAAGCAAATTGAAAAAGGAAGCAACCACTGAGAGGGTAGTCCCAAAATCTCATCCCCCAGGCCTCGTGTGTGTCTTCCACTGCAAACGAACCTGGTGGAAAATAAGATCCATGAGGCTAAAACAACTAAGAGATGTCTGTGACTGCCTAGTTCCAGGGTGAAAGTGGGTAGGGTTCAACACCACCTATGTCAGGAGGGCTTGGGAAGCACATTGGTGTTACAGTTTGGATGACAGATTGGATGTTCACCAAAGGTCCAGAAATTGGGGGTTTGCTTCCCCAAATCTTGGGTCAGTAGTTACTGTATTAATAGTAAAGGTCAATGGATTGAAAATGGAGACTTGACATATTTACAACGTACATGGATGGTGGGTCCAATGGGAGATCTTTAAGTCACTAGGTCATATCTTTGAAAGGTAGTTCTGGTGAGAGTGCAGGTTATGAAAGTTGAGTTACATGTAGCTTCTTTCTGCTTCCTGACTTGCCATGTGATCATCCCCTTGCCTGCCTTCCTCCATCCACCATTCTCATCAAGCATCAGACTAATGGGGCTGTCCAGTCTTGGACAGCGAACCTCCAAAACTCTGACCCAAAATAAACTTTCTTCCTTCATGGGTAGGTGTTTCTTCCTCCTTCACAGGTGTTTTACCCATAGCAATAGAAATTAAAAAGTATACTTGGTTTTCTGTTGAAATGATCAAAGGAAAACATTAACAATGAGGGTTTATGTCAGCTAAATAAGAGGCCATTGAACTAAGGGCAAAATTAATGCCAAGTCTCCACAGAGCCCAGATGATTGTCCAACATTTCACTTAGTACTCCAAGTAAGATGATGTAATACAAAATATCTACAGTAAATTATCCAGAATACTAATAGACTTTTGAAAGTTGGTGTAAAAATGTAATTATCAGCTAAGTTTATCTCAATGAAATTTTCAAAATTATGTGTCATTAATACACATTTTCATGAACTTTTTGAAGATTTTTTTGTATTAAAGGATTACCAGACATGCCAATGAGTAGGAAATTGGTCAATTTACAAAAAGATTCAAAAAGATCCAAATTTAGAATTACAATGAAGAACGCTTATTATAGATATGAGAAAGACAATAAGAAGGGATGGATATAAATTATTCAAAGAAAATATGTGGAATTGTAAGGTTGAAAATATATGTTGAAGAGCTTTAAGCACAAACCAACTGATTGTCACTATAAAAGACAGGATCAGAGGGCAAGTAAAGCAATCACTTGTGCTCTGATTCATATATCATGCTGGCCCTGATTTGTCTCTTGGCTGCTCCCCTGGCAATTCAGCTCCTCAATGATGGCCTGACCCAAGTGCTTGGATTTCTGCCACTCATATGGGAAACCTGAGAGCTGGTCTTGTAAGTCTGCGGAAATAGGTGAAAAAGATAATAGGGAATGGAAGACAAACCTGGCCTAGATCATAAAATTTACATGTGATGTAATCTGACTACTGAAAAACTCAGGCCAGTAAGCATTCTCTTTTTAAAGTCCTACAGGACAATTTGAAGCAGTTTGTTGTTTTACCCAGTTGCAAAATGCTCTTGTTCTTAAGAAGCTGGATGTAATTAGGGAAAATGATGCAAATGAGATTCTTTAGATCATGCTGAGAGCCTCATTATCCCTGTACTAAAGTGATGCATCGTTTTGCCTCTTCTACCTGCCAAGTAACCATTTCTAAGTTGAGAAAAATTTGAGGTCTTTATACAGCATTTTTCATTTCATTTTAGATTGTAAGCTCAACGTAGGAAACCATATCATTTTTTAAAAAATAGCAATTACTACATTATACTCTTGGTGCTTAATAAATATCTAGTTATTAATAATAAAAATAATAACATATTTATATATCAATGATAAAATTGTTGCGGAAGAAATCATGAAAGCAATTCCATTCATACCAGTTACAAAAATTTTTTAAACATAACATAGGAATAAAGATAACCAAATAAATAAATAAGTAAATAAAATTTTAAACCCTAATTAAAGAACTTGAAGAAGACATCCCATGTTCATGGATTGAAAGAATTAATATCACTGACATGTCCATAGTTCTCAATATTATCTATGGGCTTAATGCAATACCCGTGAAAATGGCAATCTCATTTTTTCACAGGAATAGAAAAGTAGTCTTAAAATTTTTATGGAATGGGCCAAAAATCCAAAACAGTGCTGAACAAGATTAACCTGGATTATTAAAATACCCAATTTCAAAATGTACTACAAAACGATAGTAACCGAAACATCATGGCATTGCCATACAAAAGGATACATAGACCAATAGAGAAAGACAGACAACTCAGCAATAAATCCACATATTTAAAGCAACTGATTTTCAATGGTACAATGGCTGGTGCAATGTCTCTGCTGGCTAATCCTCCACCTGCAATCACCAGTGTCCATGTAGGTACCATATTGTATCTTAATTGCTCCATTTCCCATCCTGCTTTCTGCTTAGGGCCTGGGAAGCAGTAGAGGATGGTCCAAAGCCTTGGGACCCTAAAACCACACAGAGAGCAGGAAGAAGCTCCTTGCTTCAGATTGGCTCATCTCTGGTTGTTGTGATTATTTAGGGAATGAACCAGTGCTTGGAAGATTCTCTCTCTCTCTCTTTCTCTCCCCATCACCTTCTCTCTGTAAATCTACTTTTCCAATAAATGTAAAAAATCTTTTAAAAACTACATTGAACAAAATAGTCTGTT